GGGGGGGGGGGGGGGGGGGGGGGGGGGGGGTTCAGAACCGAAGACATTTAGGTTGGTGAAAAGCCGGAGACTCGAAAAGTTTTCCACTTGGATGTCCTTCATCTCTTTCCTTCTTTCTCTCCTTTCTCTTCTCCCTCTCTATATGTTACGCTTGGCCGGTGGAAAAACTGCTTTTTTTCCTTCCCCAAATGTCATGTGGGCGTTTGTTTGGGCGGTAGTTGTATATAAGGTTATTCGAGCAGGCGATCTTTTCGTTGTTCTTTCCATCCTACAGCTCCTTTCTCTCTCCCAGGTCATTGTTGTTCGATACTTTTTTTTTCTATTTCTTTTTTTTTTCTTCATCTACTCGGCATGTGCTGGGGATGTCCATCCCGGTTCCATGTATTCTTCATTCCTTTTCATTCCTGTGTTCTTCGGCGAGCGGTTTATTGTTTGATTCTTTCTTCTGGAGGGCGGCGCTGGGCTTTGGGTTCGGTGTTTGTACCTACTTAGCTACCTACTACTGCCTACCTACCTACCTACCTACTTGTACTACCTTTAGCAGTGTCAATTGGAAGCGATTCTTCTCGTCTTCTCAGACGATCAGTGTCAATCGGGAGCGTATCTCTTCCATCTCTTCTCCTATACATCCGTCTCTTGTGTTTTTGAGAACAAAGGCTCCTCCTATTCACGTACGCCCTGACAAACGCTGCATTTTATCAAAGCATGAACCTCCATCCGACATCTCGAAAAAGGGATCAAGTCAAAGGACAGTGGTTTCAAAAGTTTACGATTTGATGAAAAGACTTCCATAACTTCGTAAGCTCACAGTAAGAGTACACTCGACATAAGAACATGTCATCTATTAGAAAATTCCCTAGAATCCTATCCGTTTCAGCCCCTGCCTCCCTGTGTTTGCCAGTCAAAGTGGACCATGATCATGGGGGTATAGCCCAGAGGCAGCCTTCATAAAACCCGCAACGCCATCCCGGTGAGCCTGATTTCTTTTGTTGCCGGCGACGTATTCCGTCCCAGCCTAGGCAAAGCGACTTTCCGCTGCCGAAAACCCTCCTTCCGAACCACACAACTTTTTGTTCATCCTCGAGAAAATATAGCAAATAAGTCTATCCTTACATGATGCAATAGACTAGGCAATCGTGGCTATCATATTGCATCTCACGTATCATTCGGTGGCTCGTCAGCCTCGCACCGCGGTAAAATTTTGAATCGACAAAGGAAACGATAATGGTTGCCAAAGGAAGGGAGGGATTGGCAATTTAAGCCTTGGTCTCCTCCTCCTTCTTCTCAGAGCCGGTGGCCTGAGACTTGACGTACTCGTCGTAGACGGCCAGCGCCTCGTCAACCTTGGCCTTCAGAGCAGCCTCATCCTCAATACTAAGGCAGTAACAATTAGCATCATGTTCCAACTCTGAAGAAATGGACACGAGGTAAGGGGTCAAAAACTTACAGGTTGACAAGCTCGGAGTTGTCCATCTCCAGGAGCATACCGGTGATCTTGCCGGCGAGCTCAGAGTTGATGGCCTGGATCTTGGGGAAGATCAGTTCACCAAGAATCTGCTTCTGCTGGGCAGGCTGGGCCGCGGCAAGCTGGTTCTGGAGCATGGAGGCGGTGTTGCTGTCACGAGGAGCCTGGTTGGGGAAGTTGCCGTTGCGGCCAGCGTTGTTGCCGTTGCCGCCGTTGTTGTTGCGGCCCATCTGGCGGTTGTTGGGGGGGTAGCCGGGCATTCCACCCTGGACATTGGGAGGCATGCCGGCCATGGCGCCACGGCCGCCCTGAGGAGCGCCGCCGCGGCCTCCGGCAAGAGCAGCAGCCTGCTGAGCCTGCTGCATGGCAGCCATGAACTGGGGAGTTCCGGGCTGTCCGAACTGAGGGGGGAACTGGCCGGGGATGCTGTACATGTTGGGGGGGAGGCCCTGAGGCATGTTGCGGCCACCCTGCTGAGGGTATCCAGGGAACTGGCCAGGACGACCGCCCTGAACGTTGGGCATGGGCATACCGGGCTGGGGGAAGGGAATGCCGCGGCCACCCTGGGGGATGAAGCCGGGCTGCTGGCCAGGAGCATAGAAAACGGGGGGCTGCATGTACTGCTGCGGCATGCCAGCTGCCGCGGCGGCCTGCTGCATCCGCAACTGGTTGCGAGCCTGGATACTAGCCTCAAGCTGGCTCTTGCGGACGTCCTTGCGCTGAGCAAGGGCAACATACAGAGGCTTGTTGTTGATCATGCGCTGGTTCATCTCAGCAACAGCCTTGGTGGCATCGTCGGGGTTGCTAAAGCAGACGAAGCCGAAGCCCTTGCTCTTACCGAGCTTCTTGTCCGACTTCTTCTCAGTCTTCTTCTCGGCGCCCTCGGCGGACTCGCCCTCCTTTTCGCCCTCCTTCTGGTTCTCCTTGTCCTTCTCCTGGTCCTTGGCTTCCTCCTCGCCCTCCTGAGGAACATCCCTCATGACCTTGGCAGAAGTGATGGGGCCAAACTCGGCAAACATCTGTCGGAGCTTCTCGTCATCCACATCATCATCAAGGTTCTTGATGTACAGGTTGACGCCCTGGTACTTGTTGGCCTTCTCAAGGCGCGCAGCCTCATAAGACTTTCGCAGCTCCTCCTCGCGCTCATGCTTCTTCTGAGCACGGCCAACGTAAAGGTCCTGACCACGGAAGTCCTTGCCGTTGAGCTCCTCGACAGCCTTGAAGGCAGCCTCGTGGGTGGTGAAGTTGACGAAGCCGAATCCACGGGTCTTGCCCTCCTGGTCGCGAGCCAGAGAAGACGAGGTGACGTCACCAAACTTCTCAAAGAGCTGACGGAAGTCCTCGTCGGTGACATCAGGGGCGATGTTCTTGACGTAGACGTTGGTGAAGTTGGCCTTCATCTCCTCAAACTTGCTCTGGCGGTCCTTCTTGGGGATGTGGTAGCCGACATAGACCTTCTTCTCGTTGAGCAGCATGCCGTTGACGTGCTTGATGGCCTGAGCAGCGGCCTCATCGGTCTCGTAGTGGACGAATCCGTAACCCTTGGAGTTTCCGTTCTCGTCCTGCGCAACCTTGCAGCTGAGAATGTTGCCAAAGGCAGCGAAGGTGTCATGGAGAGCCTTGTTATCAATAGCAACGTCCAAGTTCTTGATGAACACGTTGCCCTGGCCGGTCTTGCGCAGAGCGGGGTCACGCTGCGACCACATGATGCGGCAGGGACGGCCCTTGATGAGGGTGTAGTTGAGCTCCTCCAAGGCCTTCTCGCCGTCAGGGGTGGAGTTGTAGTTCACATAGGCGTAGCCCAGAGAGCGGCGGGTGACGGCGTCACGGCAGACACGGATGGAAGCCACAGCACCAATCTGGGAGAAGAGCTCGAAGAGCATGGCCTCGGTGACGGAGGGGTCAAGCTCTCCGACGTAGAGAGAGGCCGAGTTCTGGGGGTGAGGAGCGGCGGTGGGGGTAGGAGCAGAGGCATCCTCAGCACCGGCGCTGACGGACGTGTCGATGGCAGGAGCCTTGACATCGCCACTGCCATTGAGGGAGGTGTTGTTGAGATCGCTGGCGAGCTGATCAACAGCGGCGGAGGTGGTGTTTGCGGCCATTGCGACGGTTGACTGAAACCTGGATAGGGTATCAAACAAGACTGCGGCACAAGGAGAGTCAGCGGCTGAAAGGTGTTGGAGGTAGGGAAACCCTGGTTTGCCGCGGGACAAGGGCCACCAGGGTGCCCGGCATCTCATCAGCAATCACTTACTGGTTCAGAAAGAGAACGAGAAGAAGAAGAGTGCTCGGCAAGTCAGAGTTGACAGTTCTGCAGGCTGAGCGACCAGGGAGAAAAGCGAGACAACAAAAACAAGTTGTCTCTTTGTTTGTTTTGGTTTTTTGGAGTTGACCGTTTGTCGACGACGTCGCGCGGGAGGTCGAAGATAGTCTGGTGGGTAGGGTTTTTTGGATTTTTCAATTTTTTTTGGTTTTCTTGATGAAGAAAAGAGCAAGAACAGAGATCAAGTACGAAGACCGTACCTCTGAACTAACCTGCCTTTTATTGGTTTGGTGGTGTTTGGGATAAAGTTGGGCGTTGTGTGGAAGAAGAAGAAAAAAAAAAGAGATTTTTCAACCACTCGACATATTTTTTTTTTCTGCTGGGCTGCTAAACCTTTCTAGCGGTGGAGTGACCTTCCGTGCCTCCTTAGCGGCGAGTTGCGACTTCCTGCTGGCATCTATTAGGGTACCACAGTACGGCACAGTGCAGGACACTGCCAGAGCTGGCACTAAGCCAGCCTAAAGGCGAGCCAGCGGTACCCGCGGCGTCACCTGGGGAAGTCGCTGCTAGCAGAAGCCCGCCTCCCGCGTGGCTGAAGGTGTTAGATGAGGACGCTCAACCCCGCCTCAGCCAGGTCTCGCGACTAACTGCCGGCCTATCGCAGAGAGGGTGTGATGCAAAGCCTGCCGCTCTGATTTTTCTTCCAGGAGGCGGTGGCAGACAACGCCTGTCTGCGTGTTTCTTGCTTTTTCCATTTCAGCTGGGCCGCACCCGCGAGTGGCCACATGGAATCTCACAAGTCACAATGACATCCGGTGCCGGGCCAGTGCCGCTGTCTGGCTGCTGCTCATCACTTCACGCTTCGTGGGACTTGCCCGCATCTCGTTTGCCTGCCCACGAGAACAAGGGTAACAGTCAACTGCCCCTCCCCCTCACACTGTGCTGGTGGGATGTTCAAAGGCGGTGACCCCGATTGTTCGAGAGCTGTCCTCCGTTCTTATCTTATCAGCACGCGACACTAGCCGGAGTGGTGTTGCCCCACCAGCGATGATGATGCTATGCCATGGGCAGCCTGCAAGACGACGCATCCAGGCTGATGACTGATGACTGATGAGAGAGCTTCAAGGCTGAATCTTCTAGAATCGCCGCAGCAGCCGCAGAGACTCGGAAGCCTCGTGCAAGCTGTTGTGCGGCATGCTTGTTGATCCTCCCTTTGTTTTGATGCCCGCTTGATGCCTGCGTGTAGCTACTAGCAAAGCCACAGCCGCTGCCATGTTCTCGACATTTACTGGCAACTCCCGGCGGCCGAGGAACGTCAACCTGAGCGGACAAGCCAGCAACCCCTTCTCCAACACATCATGGAGCCCCTCGGCCGTCTCAAACGCTACAAAGACCGTGTCGGATGCGCAGGCCGAAAGAGAGAAGCGACAGGCGGAACGGCGGCGCTTGAAGGCCGCTTCGCAGATACAGAGAACATGGCGAGGGTATAGATCGCGGGCTGCGCTGAGGGACGAGCACAGACATGACTTCGACCTTGTCTACGGATCACGACCGGACCTCGATGCTGCTCAGAGACTATTTGCTTCTTTCCCTCTGCTTCTTTCCTTCTTCTCAGCCAATCGAGCCGACGACCTACAGCGTCTACTCCTGTTCGTCAACGACTGTAATAGCACTTCTCTTCAGCAACTCTTTGACGCCAGTCGCCATCCCTCACGCCTTCGCAAATTTATGAGAGTCCTTGTGAAAGCCCTGGGTGTTTTAGTTCTCAGAGAGTATGTCTACCGCTATTTGAAGGTGTTGTGAGCTCGCAGGAGATTGTACATGTGCTGACCAGGTCTGCCCAGTGATGCGTCGCTCGAAATACGGCATCTCCTTGCGTTGATCAACCGTTTGACTACCAGCTCGCCCTCTACGATACTTGAATCGATTGACGAATACTATACGGCCTTGGCTAGGCTTTGCCAATTGAAGCATGGCGACGAATGGGTACAGGTTCTTCTCGAGTCACTCCCAGCACCACTAGGTACAGGTGAAAGAAGTGGTATGTGATTACACCAAGTCATCATCTCTCCAAGATAGCAGTGTACTAACTTGTCCTTGAGCAGAACGCGATGCATACCGGGCATTTGCACTCCGATTCCTATCGACAGAGAACCTCCAACTATTCGAGAAGTACATCGAACAAGTAGCCCAGACCATCGACGCAGAGAAGGTTGCCATTGAGATTCTCGAAGCGTACAACGGCAAGCCAGAGTCATTACCAGAAAAGGACCGTCTCTTCTGGCTTCTGGCTCATTATATAGATTTGAGCAGGGCGCAAAAGAGATCGACGCAGAACCTGTTGCATCTGACTGCCACTTTCACACAGCTATCTGCTCTGTCTTCCGATATCAGTATTCGAATAAGCACACAGCCATCTTCCGACCAACGCGACGATGCGGCCACCGATTCCCTTGTATTTCCCTCATCGTCATATGTCTCCATTCAGCTATTGCGACTGATTGACAGTAATGGCATCTCCAACCTCCTGCATGACTTCTCCACGAGTCTGGCGCAGTCTTCAGGCCGAGAACTGGAAGGCAGCGAGCTGCTTGCTGGGTACATCTTGGCTTTGCTTCAGAGCTTTCCGAGCCGAGCGGATGATACCCGAATGAGGCTATTTCTCGAAGAGATCCCTACCGCAGGAGGGAGCACTCCCATTGTCAAATTCCTATGGCAGATGATGACCAGAACTTCAGTGTTCCAGAAGTTGAGAACAGAATCCGAACGGCCAGCAAAGATACTTCACAGGTATTTCTACGAGGCTTCATCCCAGCCATCAGTACACGCGGAAGAACAGGAATGGAGGATTATCCTCTTATTCTTAGAACTGTACACATTCATTCTCAGAATCAGCGACGATGAAGACTTCTTGAGCGGCATATATCCTCAGGTCCTGAGCAGCGACGTGCCTCAATCACGCACCCGATCATGCAGCTTGGCGTTAAAGGACGTCGAAGCGCTCATCACATTCCTTAAGAATACTTCATTCACTCTGCATTACAGTGTCCAAGAAATCACTCAGACTCGAGCGGCTGTTGACGCATCAACACAAGCCCGGTTGGACCTCTATTGGGGGGACCCATCGAAGAACCAGGGCGAACCCAAGGATTCCAGCAAGGCTTCGACCTCAAGAGTCTCTACGAAGCTTGATCTGGAGAGCCTCCGCGCCATCATCACCTCTGCGCTGAAAATGCTGTATGAGAGGGACTCGCGGAAGCATTTCCTACCGGCCGATCACTGGCTTATGACGAGCAAGTTGGAGAAGGAAGACTTCATTGGGGCTGTCATAGCGGAGGAGGAGAGGCAGATCCAGGAACAGGCCGATGGCAGCGATGCCGAGGCAGATGAGGATGCAGAAGCTTCATACGCTGACGGTTTCGGGATGCACTCAAGTTTCGCCGCGCAACGGCTTTCCCGCAACGTCAGACTGGAAAGGCTCAAAGCGAACCAGATACGCGCCCAGAGAGAACGACGACTGGCCGAGATGGGCCCCAAGCTGGAGCTGCTAAAGCACATCCCATTCGTTGTTCCGTTTGAGACGCGTGTGATGATCTTTCGGCAATTCATCTATCTCGACAGGCTTCGTAGAGGTGGCAACTATGGGATGATGATGCCTCCTATGGGGAGGCACCACGCAAAGATCCGCCGTGGCCAATTGTTCGACGATGCATTCGAGCAGTTTTATCAGTTAGGAGATGGCCTCAAAGATCCCATTCAGATCACGTTTGTGGACCAGTTCGGCACGCCCGAGGCGGGCATTGATGGTGGCGGTGTTACCAAGGAATTCCTCACCAGCGTTACGGCGGAAGCTTTTGGAAACGAGCACGGGGGGTTCGGCTTGTTCACGCGAAGTCGCAAAGAGCTGCTATATCCCAATCCAACGGCCATGGACGTGCTCCGCGAATCGCTGCGGAAGCAAGGACTGGTGGAATCCGATCCCGAATGGCGGGAAGCGGTGTCTGATCTGCTGAGGCGCTATGAGTTCCTTGGCCGCATCGTAGGAAAGTGCATGTACGAGGGTATCCTCGTCGACCTTGCATTTGCGGGATTCTTCCTCCTGAAATGGCCGTCGCCCAGCCGAAAGGAAGAAAACAGCTACAAGGGCAGTGTCAACGACCTCCAAGACATGGACGAGGAGCTATACAATGGTCTCCTCCGCCTCAAGAATTATCCCGGCGATGTGTCGGAGCTGGGGCTTGACTTTACCGTCACGGACCAGATCTCTGCCCCGGGTGAGCCGGTCAAGATTGTCACCAGAAAGCTGGTGCCCAACGGCGACGAGATACCGGTGACAAATGACAACCGGCTGCTGTACATCTCATACGCGGCTCGCCACCGCCTCGTCGTGCAGCCAGCTCCTCAGACCAATGCTTTCTTGCGCGGGCTCCGCGAGATCATTCGGCCCTCGTGGCTGTCCATGTTCAACCAATCTGAGCTGCAGCGCTTGGTTGGCGGCGACTCGATGGAGATTGATGTCGAGGACCTCCGCCGTAACACGGTCTACAGCGGCCTTTACGCCATAGGCGATGACGGGGAGGAACACGAGACGATCAAGATGTTCTGGAATGTCATGAGGGGCTTCACCGACGCCCAGAGGCGGGACGTTCTCAAGTACGTTACGTCGACACCAAGAGCGCCGCTGCTTGGCTTCTCACAGCTGAATCCCAAGTTTGCCATTCGAGATGGGAGCTCGGACCAAGAGCGGTTACCAAGCACGAGTACGTGTGTCAATTTGTTGAAGCTGCCGGTTTACAAGTCGGAGGAGACTCTGCGTCAGAAACTGCTCTACGCGATTTCGTCGGGGGCCGGGTTCGATTTGAGTTGAGACTTTTACGGACGGACTTATCAAGATAGACGGGAAGTCTCGGTTCGGGGGATCGGTTTTCAGGTTATACTATTGGCAACAAGTTTAGAACAGGCGTATTGATTTGCGTGTTGTGTTTGGGCTCAAATCTATCCTCCCATCGATTCTCTGCCACGGCTTCCTTACGTAGTTGAAGCCTCAAGGGCCCTGGGTCCAATTTGTGTATACAGTAATGGATGCCCAATGTTCTAGCACACAGTTGCTGTTGCGGAAACCCTGCGTCACTCAAGACCAGACAGATGACGGCGATAACATTGCCGCAGGGCTGACGTGTATACAAGAGAATCAAGCGTGAACCAGCTCCCGGGTGAGACGGTTCCATGAGCCGAGACTGTGGTCAGAGTGTAACCCACCAAGACGTCATATGATGAATCGGTTACCCTTGGGGGCCTATTTTGTGTTATTCTAATTCCCAATCGAAGTAGTACGATAACTACAACGAAGTCTTATGTACTTGACTTTGGAACGTTGAAGGGCAGATGTTCCCTCTTGGTGTATCGAGCGAGAGATTCAAAGCCATCATCTACAAGTCAGCCCAGCCCAAACTTACCCTGCAGCTTTAGGTTGAATATCGGGTGTTTGCCTTGCCGTTTCATCAAATGATCTCGAACCTGCAGCACCACATGCCATCAAAACGATCCATCGACCCGAATGACGATACAGAGCGAGAGTCTCGGCTCCAAAAGATGCTGTAATGTGGATAAGACGCATGTTGCGGACCGCGGTTAAGATGTAATATGGCCCGCCTCCCTACCAAGGTATAACGATGAACATGGTGTTAGGCAACCTGCCTCGAAGAAGCTCGCCATGGACAACACCAAGCCCGCTGATGTAGGTCAACCAAACCATACCTCCTGATGTCAATTCATATATACCTTGTCCGTCAATTGGCGTTATAAATTTGCCTCGTCCAGTACATGTATCGTCACCAAGAAGCTGAGAGTTCTCCTGCGACGGCTATTACAGGCTTGTGACAGCAGCGAGATGCTCCAACCAAGATATACCCGACCGTTACCTTCTGAGCCGAGCATAGCCACCTGGTCCGCGGCACGATAGTCCCCGAGCTTCAGGTACCACCCAAGTACAGGGTCCCTCCGGCTGCAATCGGCTATTCGCGACCCGGGTATCGGGTCGGACGTCCAGCCAATCGCTGGGCAGCTAATTGCAAAGGTCAGGAAATTCGGCGCCGGTCATTGACGTCGATATCGCCGCTTTTCTTCCTCTTCCCCAGATTTTCAAATCCCACCCAATTCGACTCCCGTTGGTCTCTTTGTGCCTGGAGCTTTTTAGGGGGGCTCAGTCTGTACCTAGGGAACATCGAGAGGGCAGAGCTTCCACGAACGATATCCTGCACAATGCCGGCGCCGACGCCTGCGTCAAGATGTGCCCTGCGCACCACCCGGGCCATCCCACGATGCCGGCCAGCAAGAGCCCTAGGCCCTGCTGCCGCCACCACCCGCAGAGCTCCCCTCATGATGCGGCCGTCAATAGGCATGCCCAATGCTGCCGTCCGGCCGTTCAGCACCGCCATGCGACTGCGGATGGCGGCAGAAGACGAGTCGTTTGATCCCGCGACCATCGAGCGTGAGTCAGACGAGGTCGACGTCTGCATCATCGGCGCCGGCCCCGCGGGCCTCAGCGCCGCCATCCGGCTGAAGCAGCTGGCCAACGAAGCCGGCAACGAGGACTTCCGGGTGCTGGTGCTGGAGAAGGCCGGCGAGGTGGGCGCGCACATCCTCTCGGGCGCCGTCATCCAGCCGTCGGCCATCAACGAGCTGCTCCCCGACTGGCTGGACGAGTCGAACCCCTCGCGCTTCGAGCACGCGACGCCCGCCGGCACCGACAAGATGCGCTTCCTCACCAAGACGGCCGCGATCCCCATCCCCGCGCCGCCGCAGATGAACAACCACGGAAACTACATTGTCAGCCTGAACCAGTTCGTCAAGTGGCTCGGCGAGCGGGCCGAGGAGGTCGGCGTCGAGCTGTACCCCGGCTTCGCCGCCGCCGAGGTCCTCTACAACGCCGACGGCTCGGTCAAGGGCGTGGCTACGAACGATCTGGGCATTGGAAGGGACGGCAAGCCCAAGGATTCGTTTGAGCGCGGCATGGAGTTCCACGCGCGCGTCACAATGTTCGGCGAGGGCTGCCACGGCAGCTTGACCAAGAAGGTGGTGAGCAAGTTCGACCTGCGGCGAGACAGCCAGCACCAGACGTACGGCCTGGGCATCAAGGAGGTCTGGGAGATTGACCCGGCCAAGTTCGAAAAGGGCCTGATTGTCCACTCGATGGGCTACCCCTTGCCCAAGGAGGTCTACGGCGGCTCCTTCATGTACCACTTTGGCGAGAACCTGGTGAGCCTGGGCTTGGTCGTGTCGCTAGACTACGAGAACCCCTGGATGTCACCCTACCAGGAGTTCCAAAAGCTGAAGCTCCACCCGCTGTTCAAGAACGTCCTGGAAGGCGGCAAATGCATCTCGTACGGCGCCCGCGCCCTCGTTGAGGGCGGCTTCCAGAGCATCCCCAAGGTGGCCTTCCCCGGCGGCGCCCTGATCGGCGACTCGGCGGGCTTCGTCAACGTGCCCAAGGTCAAGGGCACGCACAACGCGATGAAGTCGGGCATGCTGGCGGCGGAGGCGGCGTGGAACGCGCTCCGCGCGCCCAGCGAGGGCACCGTCTTCCTCTACGACTACGAGGACGCGCTGCGCAAGTCGTCCATCTGGAAGGAGCTCAAGGAGGTGCGCAACATGCGGCCGTCGTGGCACAACCCGCTCGGCGTGTACGGCGGCGTGGCCTACTCGGGCCTCGAGGCCTACCTCTTCAAGGGCCGGGTGCCGTGGACCTTTAAGCACGGCAAGCCCGACTACGCGGCCACGAAGCCGGCGGACCGGTTCCCCAAGATTGAGTACGACAAGCCCGACGGCAAGATCACCTTTGACATCCTGACCAGCGTCTCCCGGACGGGGACGAATCATGAGGAGGACCAGCCGGTGCACCTGCAGGTCAAGGACTGGGATGCCCACACGGACAAGGCGTACCCGCCGTTCAAGGGGCTCGAGAACCGCTTCTGCCCGGCGGGAGTGTACGAGTATGTGGAGGACGAGTCGAAGCCGCACGGCGTGCGATTCCAGATTAATGCGCAAAAGTGAGTTTACAACCCCCTTTCACTTTCTTCTTCTTCTTCTTCTTCTTCTCCTTCCACTCGTCTCTCATTTTTTGAGACCAAACAAATAAGAGTCGGTGACTAATTGTTGTTTCGTTCAAAATTCAGCTGCATTCACTGCAAGACGTGCGATATCAAGGCTCCCCAGCAGGACATCAACTGGCAAGTCCCCCAGGGCGGAGAAGGCCCCAAGTACTACATGACATGAGACAAGGGCGTGTGGTCGAATTCGCTTTTTGAAGATTGATTGGGAGGAGTAACCATGTATTGATACCTATGTACGGAGTATGACAATGAATTGCATGATAGGAGACGGGCGTCTATCGAAGGGAAAAGTCTAGTGTTTCTTTTCATATACGGGGGTCGAGTGAGTGAGTGAGTGTTATTCTGAGGGAGGCTGGACTGGACTGAACGATGTTATTGTGTGTCTTGTACTTCATATGTCCTGTTTCTCGCTTTGCTTGTTTTCTTGTTGTTTATACTTTATCACATATCGGGGTAGCGCAAAAATATACGGGCAATATATATCAACATGACATGTCTCTTCTACATCACAAAGACTTTCACACCAGCAATCGGTGGCCATCACCATCTGAAGTCCATGCATTCATCTGGATAGGTAGGTTCGGCTTACCTCAGCATTGCCGGAGACCCAAGCTCCCAACATGGATTAGCCGCCTTTCTTAGACGCACGCAAAAATAGTGCTGATCTCAGTCCGGTCCCAAAAAGCGGGCGCCTTCTCACTCTTGTTGCTCCTTGTTTTCAGGTTTTTTTCTTCCCTTGTCCGAGCTCCTTCCTCCTGCTTTTGCATGTGTCAAGGTACCGGCGACTTGGCTTCTCCGCAGTGGCTAGCACTTGGATGCAGTGGGCCATCAAGTCTGGGGAACTTCAGGGCAATAAAATCCTGCTCGATCGACCGGTCGGTCGGTTCCGCCAGTGGCGCTGCGAAAATGATGGGCGCCCGACCTCGGTCCATGTCATGAGAATAAGGATGTCAGTTCATGGGCAGACGCGTTTGGGGTTCGTCTTGGATCTGACGCCTCGCGCGTCAGAAAACTTTCCACTGCTCCTTGCCATAGGGCTAGAGAGTCACGGCGAGGAAGAGAGACATGCAAGAGTCACTAGGTTGTTTGTTTTTGTTATTATTGTTGTTGTTGTTGCTGCTTAGGTAGACGCTGGCTGTGCATCTCTTTGTTGCACCCTTCAGGGATGCACAAAAGGACAGAGTGCACAAGAGACAGTCGGCGCGGTGAGACATGCGGTCGAATTCCTTTTGTTCCGCTGTAGGATTCACAGGAGGGAGGCGCTTCTTGTTGTGCACCTCACGAACATCACAGAGCAGCAGCAGGATCCCAAGCGGCGAGATCCTCTTGCTCCCTGTGTGTGCGTGAATTACCTCTACGCGACACCGGGATTGATTGACTGGCAGTGATTGACTGACTGATGATGGATGCTACACAAAGACGGCCTGCGCAGGCGAGCAAGCAAATTTTTTCTGGACCCGAAAGCGGCCAGAGTATCCAGTTCTGGCAGCGATGCGGCGCTAGGGAGCAGAGGTGTCACCGGGATCGAAAATTGTTAGCAGGGTACCTTGGCCGGGCTGGCGACTGTAGCAGATACATGCACTGCCAGCTTCCGCGACTGCGCCGGTGCAACACGAACCGCTGGAACCCGGCAGAGGGTCCAACAAAGCGAAGACGGCTGCCACCTTATCTCTCAGCTCCATGGCCAGGTCGGAGAATGAGACACGCATGGGCAAACATCCTGATTCTATCTCGGTTAATCAGAGAACAAAGCAGACGAAGAAGAAGCCAGCAGGTCGCTCTCTCGTGCATGCATCAAGCGTTGCTGCTGCCGCGCCATTGGGCAGAGACGGGCTGCCGACACAGCGAGGCGCGTCAAGCGGGCAGCCGAGCGTGCATGTACCCAGTACTTGGCGCAGGAGCCACTCACAAGGCCGCAAGCAGCAAGATTGCTGGTGGATGCGGCTCAAGGCGCCATGGTTGGCTCCCAGTCCATGACTCACTGACGCCAGGATGCGCCTTGTGCCATTTTCGCCTCCCAAGCGGACTTTTCGTCCACCCGCAGACGAGGAAAACTCTGCTGTGTGCGGCGGTGCGACGCGACTCGTAATCGGCGCCAGACAGCCAGCCAGCGACACAGAGGCACTGAGGCACCATGCGCTCGTTTGGCTGCTGGCGGACATGAGACGCCGCTGAGACGGGTGCCGTTTGTGGTTTGCGAGGGCCGATGCCTTTTTACCTTTGGGTGGCCGCGCAACCAAGAGCCAGCCCCCCTCGACCGCCAGCACAGGGGGGTGAAAGGTGCGTGTTTCAGAGGCTCGTGTTGTTCCATGGCAGTAACTTGTTGTGGTGTGGCCGCTGAGAAGACGTGGTTCAGTGGGCGAGAGGGGGGCGAAGACGCAATTTCAGGGAGTGCTTGGTGGATAACGCTGATAAAAGGGGGGGCGAATGGGCGACGCGACCAACCGTGGATCCACTGCCAGCCCCGTCGACTTGCCTGGGGCTGATTGACCGTCCAGCACCTCGGACACGGAAAAGCAGAGGCAAGCGAGTTTCCCCGTTACCCGCAGCTGGCCCAATATTCGCCATCCGAGAACGACGTGTGATGTGTGCTGTGCTGCTTTCTTTGGGAGGTGAGAAGAAATAAGTGAAAAAAAAAAGAGGGCGGCGATGTTGTGCGGTGCTGGAGAGGCACAGAGAGACGAGCGCGGAGCAGGTTGAAAACGGGCCCGGGACGATTCGCTGCTATCGCACGCCGTGTGCTGCTTCTGCTTCCGCGGGCGGCAGCAAGCAGCAATGCAGCTGCACGCATGGTCGAGAGTCGAGAGCGCGAGCCGCCATGGACTGCATGCGACACAGTCGACGAAGCAGTGAGGATGGAGGAGGAGAGAGAAAACAGACGGTCGCGGTGCCGCTGCGGCTGGAGATGCAGAGATGCAGAGATGCAGGCAGAAGGAGGAAGAAGGAGGAGGAAGGGGGCAGAAGGTGCAAGTCAACAAGGAAGTTCAAGTCAGCTTCAAATGGAAGTCAATCAATGGCAGCACCCGACCGCAGAAAAGCCCTGGCCACAAGCAGGCGACACCGTGACCGCCAGCTCGCCCCCCCTGTCACCACCTCGTCACCCTCCGCCTTGCTGGTGCCACAGCGCTGGAAGCTCCAGTGAGGTTGGTAGAGGGTACAAGTACCGCGCGGTGCTGCATGCTACCGCGATACTTCAGGGGGGCTTGCCAGCCGTGGTGGGCAAAGGAGATAAAAGCACGGCGGTGCGGCGCTGTGATTGGCCGCACGCGGCGCTAGTGCCCACGCTAGGCTGAGCTTGGGGTTGCCAAAAGCGACGCCACAGGTGCTCTTGCTGCGCTCTTGTTGCCTGGGAGCCCTGCCTGGGCCTTCCGGAGCGAGAATTATAAGTACCCAGCCCTCCCCCATCCGCTGTTTCCTCGTTCTTGCGAGGAAGTCCCGACCGGCGGCCCTGCGTACCTCCCACAACGTTCGGCGCTCTCATTAATATTTTCCCCCTCCAACGACGTCACGCCCCACACCGAATCCTCAGAAGGGCCTTGCTTGCCTTTTTTTCTTTTTTTCCTACCCTCACGCTCTCTCAACTTCATCGGACGCCATCGTTCCCTTGAACAGCCTCTCCCTTACTTAATCTCCAAGCGCGTCAGGAAAGAAAAACTCACGAGCGGACGAAGCCACGTCTGCTCTGTTTCCCAGGTCGCACGGTGTCGACGTCCTGCGATCAGGCAATATAAGAGAACTGGAACACGTTCCTTAACGCCGTCGCTCCCTCACGTATCCCACGGGTGCAACCGATCTTGTTGATCGCCGACGAAGACGACACAGCGATACGATACAAAGTACTGCCCGTCATCGTCGCCCTCCGAGTCGTTGCCTCGTTCTGTAGAACGCAATTATAAAAAGAGAAAATAACCTTCAAAAAAATTGCTTGAAAGTGAAGACGAGACGTCTCCCCGAGTCTTTGGTCGTTGGACGAGAACCCGCCCTGTTCCAAAGCTCGACCTTCGTTCTCTCACCCATTCTACCCACCTTGCTGCCTCCGTTTGGCATCCGCAAGGACATCCAAAACAAAAGACATCTCTGCTTGAGCAGCCGCAATCTGTAGGGGAGACATTCACTTGTTCATCTCCCGCATATTCAGGTGGGTGGGAACTCTTCTCTTGTTGTCTTTCCTGGGTTGCGTGTTCTCTCTTCCCATCTCCTCATTCACTGCACTGCCCTGAGGCGGCAAACACGTGTTTGATGGCTCGCGTTGCCGCGGCTACGGCAAACAAAAAGCCAACTTCGCCTCCCCTCGCTCAACTTCACCTTGCTTTCATCTCGCTTTCGGCCTTTGCAGCGCATTGCTCTGCTATTGTGCCACCATCAGTCGCTGCATCGCCGTTTGCTTTTCTCTCTCCCCTCAATCTGTTGAGCTGCCTCGACAATGCATCACTAGCCTTTCAGGATATGCAAGTGGCTAACCGCATCTCTTTGCGCAGACCTGCTCAGTTTCGGGTTGCAGCTACACAGGCTTTCTGATCTCTTGTCTTGATCATCATGGAGGGCATTCAGACGCATCCGGCAAACGCCGCGCAGGCCAAGGCCTTTACTGCTCCTGGGTCGCTGTCGTTTCCCGGCGCCTCCAACGAGCTCACACCGCCGTCAACCAACCCCGATGGCAGCCAGCGAATGGCTCCCAACGGTCAGCAGAGCGCTGCTGGGAATGGGGTGACTCCTGCTACTCCCGCCGCCACGCCTGCTGCCTCTCAAGGCCCCAGTGGTATCACACCTACTTTGCAGTATGTATACTCTTGAGTGCCTTGGCTACGCTCCTAGAGACTTATCTCGCATTCAAAGGAACATCGTGGCAACTGTCAATCTCGACTGCCGATTGGACTTGAAGACGATTGCCCTGCACGCCAGGAACGCCGAGTACAATCCAAAGGTGAATACCTCATGGGCCCAGAGATGGGGACGGGGATCTTTGTTGGCATCAGGGTGCTAACAGCGTTGCAGCGTTTCGCCGCCGTCATCATGCGTATTCGCGAGCCCAAGACAACAGCCCTCATCTTCGCCTCTGGCAAGATGGTTGTCACTGGTGCCAAGTCTGAAGACGACTCCAAACTGGCGTCTCGCAAATATGCGCGTATCATCCAGAAGCTCGGCTTCAACGCCAAGTTTACGGACTTCAAGATCCAGAACATTGTTGGCTCGTGTGACATCAAGTTCCCCATCCGTCTGGAGGGTCTTGCTTCTCGTCACCACAACTTCAGCTCCTACGAGCCTGAATTGTTCCCTGGTCTGATTTACCGTATGATCAAGCCCAAGATTGTGCTGCTCATCTTCGTTTCCGGCAAGATCGTCTTGACCGGTGCGAAAGTGAGAGAGGAGATTTACCAGGCCTTTGAAATGATCTACCCTGTGCTCCAAGGTTTGTCCACACGCTATGGCCTATTCTTGCGTGCATTGCTGACCGGCTTGTTACAGATTTCCGGAAAGTCTGATTGCGCTCATGGGCATGGTTAAGAGATGAACACCTTCGTCTCGTGTACCAACATTCAAATACCCCCCTTTCAAAAACCGACGTATATGACTAGACCTTTACACGGTCATGATACCACAACTACATCATAGGACGTCGTCCGCCCGAGGGTCTTGGTAGGACACAACCGAGTCTCCATGCGGGATCCCGCTTGTACCATTTGATTTCTGCTTGCATTGCATTGGCGTTGGCAAAGGGAGGAAGGCCAGGAAGAGGTTCTTTTGCGTTTTTCTTACGATGGATCTGGTTCACGGCAAAAAAAGAACAAAGACTACCCATCCCGCGACACAACATAGATTGCTCGTGGCCGCCCTCGGACCGTTATCATCGGATCCTTGCGGCCTTCTTAATGCCTTCAAGGGGGGACAAGGTCAAGTTGAAAACTAGACTGAAGGAACGTTGCTGGCGAATTTGGGGAGAGGGAGGGCAAGCCGGGTGGGAAGCGGCTTGCCTGTGGCGGTGATGTTGAAGCAGTCCCATTGACCACTCGTCATGGAACTGGACAGATTCTATGAGGACATTTTACGCCCTTTGCGGGACGAGATATCGTTAGCAGCAAACGCCCTTTTGACCGTTGGGCAAAGGGCGCGCGACTGTCACAAACGCTCAGTCGTAGCTGGTCTTTTGCAGTTAGCATTATCACCAAAAATGCTTTGATTCTGTCCTCTAATCAGCATGCCGTCGCCTCATTTCATCTGCCTCACCTGCTCTCAAGTGTCGATGTGATTCTACGTAGTTTCCCCCGCGGGTAACTGTTGTGACTTGTGTGGGGCCGTCATCTGTGTGCGTTTGTTGATCGGTAAGCAGAGTCCCGACGATCGGACGTCCCCTCCCCGGAGCTGAAGGACCCCTCCTCAGGATAAGTGCTGCTGCATGGGGCTCTTCGGCAAAGGCAGGAAAGCGGCGGCATCAACACTCATGCCCTAGATGATAAAAGTCGAATAGGCCCAGCTTTCTTTTTGTCCATGACGAACCATCCCAAGACGCTTTGTTCCCAGCAGTGATTCCCAAAGATGGCCCAGCCTCCGCGGTCCATCCTCATCGTCGGCTCCGGCGTGTTCGGCCTCTCCACGGCCTGGGCGCTCACCAAGAGGCCGTCTTTCGACAACACCGCCATCACCATTGTAGACGATGTCCGTGGCGCCTCTTTCCCGCCCGGCGACTCTGCCAGCGTGGACTCGTCGAGGATCGTTCGAGCTGACTATGCCGACCCGGACTATGCCGAACTGGCGGCGCTCGCGCAGGAGGAGTGGCGGAAGCAAGGCGACGACGAGCTCGGTGGACAGGGACGGTACACCGAGGCTGGCCTGCTGCTAGCGGCCAACGAGTCTGCTGAGCCCAAGATGTCGGGCATGGGATATACTAGGTCCAGCTGGGAGAACACATCGCGTATCGCCAGGGAGAGCGGACAGGCTGAAAAAATCCAGACGCTGGAAACCAGGGCAGACTTGCAGCGCTTTCTGGGCGTGGATGGGCATCCCGGTGATTGGGGGTACGTCAACAGACTCTCCGGATGGGCAAACGCACGCGAGGGCATGTTGTGGTTGTACGAGCGTGTCAAGGCCACTGGCAGAGTGAGCTTTGTGGACGCACAGGTGGAGGAGCTTGTCACCGAGGGCAAAAGAGTCGTTGGCGCGCGGCTGGACGACTCTCGGGTCCTCACTGCAGAGGTTGTTTTTGTTGCTGCTGGCGCTTGGACGGGGAGCTTGATTGACCTGAGAGGACGAGTGGAAGCCACAGCGCAGCCCTTGGGCTACATCGACATCTCTGAGGAGGAGTTCCAAGTGCTGGCGAAGCAACCGGTGGTGCTCAATCTCAGCACTGGATTGTTCATCATTCCACCGCAGACCCGCGTCTTGAAAATTGCGCGCCACTCGTTCGGGTACCTGAACCCGGTGCTCGTCGAGAGGGCGCTGCCTCCCTCGCCCTCGGAGGAGCGCAGGCCCATTGTCGTGTCGAGGCCGCTGACGCAGCGCGATGGCAGCAGGAATGCAGCAAAGGCGCTGCCGGCAGACGCAGACGAGGCGCTGCGCCAAGCCCTGAGGGACCTGTCGCCGGTCAAAGAGCTGGACACGCGGCCGTGGAGGGAGACGAGATTGTGCTGGTATTCCGACACGAGCGACGGCAACTTCTTGGCGGACTGGCACCCGGGCTGGGAGGGACTGTTCGTGGCGACGGGCGACAGCGGGCACGCGTACAAGTTCCTGCCCGTCCTCGGAGACAAGCTGGTGGACTGCCTGACGGGGACAGGAGGCAGGCTTGGGGACAAGTGGAAGTGGAAGAAGGAGGCGGCGGGCGACGCAGGGCGAGAGATTGACGGGAGGTTCAAGGGGCTGGTGACGATGGACGGGAGCAGGGCAGGGCGGCCGGGGTTGATATTGCGAGAGGAGCTATCCGAATTATCGGCAAGGTGAAGGGTGGCAGGGAGGGAGGAGGATCAAGCAAAGGCGTGTCCGTGCTGGAATGCATTTCGTCTGTGCGGCAAAGGGGAAGGGCTGAGTAACTTAGGTAGGAAACTGAGTAGGCAGTTTGTGCAAACTTTTGCAGATGACCTCGCGATGTGGGCAACGATGAGAGTTGTTCGATTTTTGTGTGCTTTTAGAATTTTTGTGAGCTGATGCCTGGATTTATCACATGGGTTTCTTCTTCACTCAAGGTACCTTATCAGTCTGTGTGAAGCCTATGCACATATCGAGGCAATGGAAGATAACGGGTGAATATCACCATTAAGTGCATGACGCACCTTGAGAAGCTCAAGCTCAACCGCTACTGCCTTTGCGTACAGCGTCTGCCCGACATCTCAAAACACAACTTCCACCGATTTCCGAGATATCCTCAAGACCATGGACTAGGAATCTATCTTCAATCCTCCGAGCCGGTGCGCGATGTCGTCCTCCAAAGACCCCGCCGATCCCCTTCGGATAGAACCCAAATTCCAGAAACCCGTGAGACAGTCTGTCTTCGAGAAGCAAAAGGCCGAGGCCGAGGCCAAGCGCAAGCGCGAGGCAGCAGAGACCGCCGCGGTATACGAAGACTTCATCAAGAGCTTCGACCACGACGACAATGACAATGCGAACCAGAGCGCGACGTCGCAGCGAAGTCAGCGACCCGCGTTTGGCGGCTTTGGCGGCCCGCCGCCCTCTGGCCCTGGCGGCGCATCGCGGCGACACTTTGGCACGTCGTCGGCGTTGAAGAGCGGGCCGGGAAGCCTGGGGACGCCACCTGCTCCCTTTGCTAAGAAGCGATCTTTCAATGACTTTTCCAAGGAGCCCGAGGGCAGGCCGACGCTCAAGTTCGATGACAAGAGCGACGATGACGAGATGGTCGACCGGGCGGAGGAGAAGGCTATAGCAAGGCCGACTCTGCGGTTGTCCAATCTCCCTCCGGGGATTTCAATCGCCACGATCAAATCACTAATGCCTTCCAATCTCACGGTTGAGGAGGTCAAGATCCAGCCCCCAGCTGGGCCCGGAGGTTCTGAAAGGAAATGCGCGGTTGCCATCGTCACTCTGTCCAAAGAGACTCCCGCGACAGACATGGATGCCGCGGTAAGCTCATTGCAAAACAAGTATATGGGCTACGGATACTATCTATCTCTTCACCGCCACCTTTCCTCAGCCGTCAGCTCTACTCTATCAGGGTTGGCCTCTTCAACCTCTACTACTTCTCAACCCTTTGGCGCCAAACCGGTGGACCGGGAGTCTTCGGCTGCGCACAACGACCATTCGCGCCACGGATTCCAACGGGGATTTGCTCCGCCAACTTCATACTCCCATGGGCAAGCGGCTGTGAACCGGACGAACCTGTTGTGCGTACCGGTCAAGCCGCCCCGGGACATTCGAATGATTCGGTTAATCAACAAGGTCATTGAAGGAGTTCTCGAACACGGCCCTGAGTTTGAGGCTCTCCTCATGTCTCGTGCTTCGGTCCAGAGAGAGGAAAGATGGGCTTGGCTGTGGGACGCCAGGAGCCAGGGTGGCGTTTGGTATCGATGGATGCTTTGGGGAGTCATTACAGGCTCACATTTGAAGCAGAAGAAGGGCAAGTATGTTCCGCTCTTTGACGGAGGCCACGCTTGGAAGACACCGGAAAAAGGCCTTCGCTTCGAGTACACGACAAAGCTCGACGACTTCGTTTCAGACGAGGAATATGACTCTTCCGAGGACGAAGACTTTGACGGAGATGCAAACCGTGACGGCAACCCGACGGCAGATGAGGAGAAGACGTTTCTCAACCCACTGGAAAAGGCAAAACTCGTACATCTATTGTCCCGTCTTCCCACTACAATTGGCAAGGTTCGCAAGGGTGATATTGCGAGGGTCACGGCCTTTGCCATTACACACGTCAGCCGCGGTGCCGATGAAGTTGTCGACTTGATCATCTCTAATGTGGAGAGGCCATTCTCGTTGGCCGTTACTGACCCGGAGAAGAGAAGAGAAGGCAAGGGAGAAAACCAAACATCAGGCGCGGATGAAGGTGCGACTGCGAGTGACAATACCGATGCAAGCGCCGCGACCCTGGTTGGCCTGTATGTGGTCAGTGATATTCTATCAGCATCCTCTACAAGCACTGTTCGGCATGCGTGGCGTTATCGGCAGCTCCTCGAGACGGCTTTACGATCCAGAAAGGTGTTTGAACGGCTGGGAATGATGGCGGAGAAGCTGGGCTGGGGTCGACTACGCGCAGAAAAATGGAAGCGGAGCGTTACTCTTGTGCTGAACTTGTGGGAAGGCTGGTGCGTCTTTCCTGTTGAAAGCCACGCACTGTTTGTGCGTGCTTTTGAGAGTCCGCCGTCCCTTAAATCGCAAGAAAAGGCAGGTGAACCTGTCAAGAAGGGGAAATGGAAGGCTGTCGAGGCCAATCAGACTCCCACCACGGCTTTGGAGACTATTGCTACTGATGAGGCTGCCAGAGATGGCGATGCGGTCGGCAAGCCGGAACAGCAGGAGGAAGAAGTGGTAGGGGAGCCTATCGAGGAAGAGGAAGAAGAAGAAGAAGTTGTAGGCGAGCCTATTGAGGAAGACGACGTTGACGGCGAGCCTATTGAAGATGAAGACGTGGATGGAGAGCCGATTGTTGATGACGACGACGACGTGGTCAGAGAGCCTATCGAAGATGACGAGGTGGATGGGGAACCAATTGATGATGATGAGGAGGACGAAGACGTGATCGGGGAGCCCATGGACGAAGACGATGAGAACGCAGTGGAGGCAGGCAAACCCAATGAAGCCATACAGCCGGGCACTGGGGGTGCCAAGGGTGCAGATGCACCAAACGTGCGGGGGGCAGAAGCTCAGGCAGAGCCTCCCTCTACGAGCCGAGCCCAGCCTCGACGGCGAATGCGAGCAGCCGACATGTTTGCCGATTCGGACCATTCGGATTGAAACTGGCATGGAGGTGGTGGACGGTGATGGATAGGAACTGTACGAGTTGAGACTGTCCACGGACAGCATGGCCCCAAGCAAGAGGAGGCCCCGGCCCGACGGAACGATGTTACGCAGCCAAGGTATGTTTTTGAGCGCCTCGTACTTGTGCAAGGGCTGCAGTCTTTCAGGGCCCATATGACGGCTTGGCCCGGGAAGCAGATAGCCTATTCAATGAAGACTTCAGATACCCGTCTAGTCGAGGAGACTACTAGGTACTAGGTAGATCACGCGAGGATAAAAACAAGAAAATCCATGTGTGAGGTACCCTCTACCATCCCACGACTATAAAGCACAACTACTAGGTAGACTACTTAACGAATCGAACATGCCAGCTGGGCTCGCCAAGTGCATCTCCCGGTCAGGCAGCTAATCAGAGGCATGGACAAGCCTCGACTTGATGCCAGCCTCGTATCGATTGAACTCGTAGAAGAAAAGCATGCGCGCGGTTAGGCAAAAGTGAATGATGAGAAGACAACAAGGCACACTCGAGGTATTATTACAGTACATGTAGGTAGGTAAGGTACCTAGGAATAGGAGATGATGGACCGACGCCTTCTCGGAGCGTGTGCCGGGAGACAGCCAATAGAAACTTGCTCATCAAGGTGCGGGACGGACGAACGTTGGCCTTTTGGGGGGTGTTGCCGGGCTTTGTGGAGATTTCAAAACAGGAGGAGGGAACAAAAAAAGGTGTTGTGTCTGTGCGTGGTTGATAGCAGTCTGTTGTTGTTGGAAGGGGGAGGAGAGTTGCACAGATTATACAGATCACGATTGGTTTCGATATGGGGTTGAAGGCATCTAGAAAGGCGGTTCAGGTAGTCAGTCTCTTGCTGCTCGAGATGGCTCGCTTCCGGCATTGGGGATGGAGCTGCACGGCTCCGAGGCTCGGGGGGTTTCGGAGGCGGGGCGGCGGTATTTGGGCCGGTCTTTGGTTTGAGAAGAAACATGAATGGATGTGACAGCTACGACTAAATCATTACAGTGCTAGAGGCACTCAAGGTAGGTGAAATGCGTTTGAGGGACGACCTGGAAGTCTGTTGTATGTATGTAACCTGACGCTTGCAAAGGCCGATTTGGTGACATCAGTTGAGGTGAGAGAGCACGGACGAGTGAGGAATGAGGAGAATGCCATGACCAGGCCCCTGAAGGGGGGGATTTGGGATCAACAACAGCGGGTTCAGAGCAGTACATATTAATAGATCCTACAATTTATAGCACCTAGGTAGGCGTGGCTGACGGCTTCAGGGTTGATGCGTGTAGTATTGGATGTATCTTGAAAGACGAATCTCACCGTTTCCATGCACGACATTTTGTCTACCTACCTACCTACGGGTAAGCACAGCTCGCATGACGGCTGTTTGTCTGTCAAGTCAGACTGCCTGATCAGGTAGAGGGATGATGGAATGGCTACCTACCTAGTAGGTAGGTGAATGGATCCAGAGTGAGCTGTGTTATTAGCAGCCCGACATGGAAATCGAACGGTTGTTGAAGGGATGAGCTCCCCAACCCGAGATTCGCTGCGAATGTTTCGTTTGACGCACGGCGTTTCACCACCTCACCCTTGGCCGCCCTCCCCCCCCCCCTGGTTAGCGCATGCAGGCCACTGAATCTGTAGATGCACCCGCTGTGGTCGCTGAGGCTGGCCGCTAAAGGAATCCGGGCTGGGGCGATGTCGAGCCCCTGGAGAGAAAAGAGGTCAACATAGTGAACCTTAGCGACTACATGTAGGTAAGAGACGCCCCCGCACCAAGTCATGCCGTTGAAGCGCCTGGACTGTTGGGCGGGTGAGTAAAAAGTCAGCCCAGGGCGCAGAAGGTCAGAGGTCCATGCTAAGGGTCTGGTCACTGATTATTGGGTGTCGGTTTTTTTTTCTCACCTCTCTCATATCATCAATGCAAGCTTTTTGCAAGTTTCGGCTTTCTGCATTCTGTCCATTCTTGCGGGTCGAGGGGCTTGACGATTGAAGCATCCCAGGGACTGCAATCTCAAATAACCGCTGGAGGCAGTCGGGAATCTGGGTTCGACATTTTGGGCGGTAAAACATTGCCGACTTTCGCTTGCCTCGCCGACGGCTGGGAGCTCTGCGCGCGCACGACGGGACAAATTTGGTGGCATTGAACGATTCAGCGGACGTTTGGATTTGGTGGTGACCTCCCCGACGCCATTCGACGACTTTGCTGGGAACCTGGCCCTTCGCATCAGACACCGTTTCGAGGACGGCGACTTCTCCCAGAGACCGAGCATCGTCAAGTGCGAGCGATTACCCGCGACCTCGAGACCTTTTGGATGCCGCTGTGCTATTTAGGTCCTGCGCCTACGATCTCTCGCGGTGCCTCGACCCGAAGCGCTGAAGCGCGCTGCTTGCGATACACAGGCTGTTTCTCATCCGACGGCGGCACATCGACGGCCGCCGTTTGCTGCGCCTGGCCTTGGGGCTCGGCTGCTCTGACTTTGGGAATTCTGCGATCCAAGGCGCATAGTCCCGTGTTGCATCGTTCGCCATGCCACTCATAAACGGCCAGAAGATGGCCTGGTATGTTTCCCCCCCTCCTCTCACGACGCTCCTGTTGCTGGCGCCTCAGCCTTGTCCGTGTCGGCCCTTCTGCGTCACAAACTCCCCTCGTTCGCCTCGTCGCAAACTAACCCGTCGTCGTGTAGCGAGCCGTGCATCCGAGGCCATCGCTCCACCAAATGCACGCACGCCAGCGAACGGCTCATGGTCCCCGTGCGCAAGCCCGGACGGCCTCTCAGCTCATGTCCGCATCCCTCCGCGCAGCCCTGCGGCTGTGCCGCCGTCACGGCCGCCTTTCCCAGGAAACAAAAGTGCCGCCGCTGTGACACTTCGGACAAGCCGTCCGGCTGCAAGCCCGGAGGCCAGGAGGACGACAAGGAGACCTCCAACGGGCTGGTGACCCCCCCGAGTCCGTCCCAGAAAGCACCCGCAGCAAAGGCGACGACGTATCGCGTGCAGAAGACGAGCTCCAAGAATGGAAGCGGCAAAAAGCAGATCGACCTCGCAGGCCTCGAAAGGATGGATGCGAGCCAACTCAACATACTATCGTCTCCCGAATCGAAACCTTTGCAGTCATCCTGCTGTACCGTGCCCACGACGCCCGCCGCCCCCCTTCCCGGCCAGGGGATGATGGGCTTCATCCCGAATGGTCGGTCTTTCAGCCTTGGTCCGGCCATGTTTCCCTTACACTCGGGGCTGGAAGGTCTACTTCCGGCCAACGGCCACGGTCCATCCGAACCCCTTCATCCAAACGAGCAGAACGCAGCCCCCGCTGCCGGAAGTTGCTGTGGCGGTGGGAAACCGAGAACAATTTCCACGCATGCGCCAAATCCTGCCGGACTCGACTCATCTAGTATAAATACTCAACCGCCTGGAAGCATGCCAACGCCAGGAGTTGGTCCTCCGGTTAATGGCATGATGATGCCTCAGTTCAATGCGCAGATGGACATGCCCAATGTCACGTTTCCATACTTTGTCCAGCCAGGGGTATTCGCATACCCGCCCCAGTACGGCTCCTTTCAACAGCCCCTACAGCCGGATCAGTGGAGGCAGCTGATGGCCACGATGAACTATACGCATCCGATGACGAGTGTGCAAAACGTGCCGTATGATGACACGGCTCAGGTGCAGTTCTCTCAGAGCAACGGCCTAGAGGCGCCCTGGACGTCCCACCAGTGCGGCTGCGGGGACTCGTGCGAGTGCATTGGTTGTGCCACCCACCCGTACAACCAGGCCACGCAAGATTACGTCCGATCTGCCTGGAACAGCATGCAAGAGGATGCTTCCAAGGGTCACAGGCACTCTGACAGCACTCATAGCGCCCTCGGCGGCAACAACGGGACGGCCACGCCCGCGAACCAGTCGCCAAACGGCGGCTCGACGCCCACGGGGGGCCAGGTGGAAGGCTTCGTGTCACCCACAATGGCGCAGACGCCGTCAGAGGGCAACTCGGCCGTCGAAGAGGCAGCTCTGTCGGCGAGCGACTTTTTCTTCGTGAGCTACCCGTTTGGCGAACTGTGCGAGGGAGAGAAGGCCAGATGTCCTTGCGGGGACGACTGTTCGTGTATCGGTTGTTCGATACACAACACATCCCCAGCTGTGGCTGAGTTTGGAAGTTAGTTGAGCGCGGGTTGTCTGAAAGTGCGAGAGAAGACGCTGGAGACTATGTCAGCGTCGGAGCTTGGCTCGCCCAGAATCACATGAGTCAAAGATGATGCCGGGTCGTTTGGCAGGTAGAAATTCCATCCCTGGCCACTTACACCTCTCCATATATGGCTGTACATACCTACCTGGATACCTCTTTAGAGTCCGACATACTATACCCGCTGATCACGTAGATGGACGTAATCACCAAACCATGGAAAAGAGCCTTCATGGACTCTATGGCTGAGTGCATAGAATACAATATTCATCTCTTCTGAAAATACGGACTGTCTATACACAAGACTTGCAAATATCTCTCATACAGAGTAGTACATGCTGTCGCTGCGAAGCGATAATGTGTTGCATCGCCAATCTGAAGTTGTAAGAATAAAGGTCTATATGCAAGGAACGCCTGAGGATTGAGGGTAGCTGATGCAGGGTGTGGGGCGCACTGTGTCCCCTGTGAGACAGCTCTTTCTTAGAATATCACTGGACATGGTCAAGCCTGGCTGTGACTTTACCTCAGTAATCATCGGCTTAAAGCTTGCAACTTCACAGACAGTTCCAAGCGCTTCTTCTTGATTCTCAGAGTCTGAATATCAAACTCCTGGCCCAGCGTTATATGTCCCTGAGTTGATCGGTTCTTTTTTTTTTCTCGCTTCCAGACGTGCACGGCCTGTCATCATGCCTCAATCCTCACGAGAATCCAGGTTTTCAACGCGCGACGGCGATGATGCACGCCGTGACCATTCACGTCACGAAGAGCGATCCCGGCATCACCGCGACAAGAGATCGCTCTCGCCAAATGGAAGCCCGCAAAGGCACTCGTCTGACCGCAGGAAACGAACAGCGTCTCCCCGAGACAGTGACAGAGACCGGGACAGGGAAAGGGAGCATAAGAAACGACGCTCGGCTGAAGGACACCACCATCATCACCACCATCGCCACCACCACCACCACTCCTCCTCGAGTCGCACTGAGAAGCCCTGGGCCGCGGAGCTGCCCTTCGGGGCGCGGCATCTCTCAAAGGACGACTTGAAGGCGTTTGAACCGTTGTTTGGGGAGTACCTGAGCTTGCAGAAGCAGCGTGACATTGCCGGCATGGACGAGCGGGAAATTCGGGGCCGATGGAAGAGCTTCGTGGGCAAGTGGAATCGGGGGGAGCTGGCGGAGGGGTGGTATGATCCTGAAATGTTCCAGCGAATACTCGCGCGGCACCCGACGACCGAGGGGCAGCGTGAAAGAGAAGAGCGACAGCAGCAGCAGCAGAAGCAGTACTCTTCACGAGATGTGTCTGTTGAAGACGACCGTTACAACAGCGGTGGCGATGACAGCGAGGACGAAGACTACGGCCCTGTTCTTCCTGGTGCCTCGGGCGGAAGCCGCCGGGTTGGCGTTGGGATCCCGAACAAGGAGGACCTTGCTCTACGGGACGAGCTTGTGGAAGAGTCAAGAGAGGCGGACCGGGAAGGACTACGAGCGGCCCGCAAAGCCGACCGCAAGCTACAAAAGGAACGCCTGGAGGAGCTGGTGCCCCGCGCCGAGGCCGGGACGCGCGAGCGCAAGCTGGAGAAGCGGCAAGAGGTCAACGACAAGATGCGGCAGTTCCGGGAGAAGAGCCCCGGCGGGGAGGTGCGCGACAGCGAGCTGATGGGCGGCGGCGACAGCCTGGAGGAGTACAAGAAGGCCAAGGAGAGGGAGCAGCGGCGCAAGTCGGAGCGGGAGATTCGGCGGGAGGAGATGGAGCGGGCGAGGAGGGAGGAGATTGAGGCCAAGAGGAGGGCGTGGCAGGAGAAGGAGGACCGGACGGTGAGCATGCTGAGGGAGCTGGCCAGACAGCGGTTTGGGGGGGTTTAGGGGAGGATGGGATGCCGTCGATGGTGATGATGATGCCGGGCTTTGCTTTACTTACTACTATGTCATACGGTATGATTGCTTTGGGATGAGAGACTCCCTTGTCTTTGGTTTGGCGTCACCCATGGTTATCGACGAATGGGGCTGCTTGGGGCATTTCGATATCTGCGAGACTCACCGGGAGAGGCTGAGGCTGAGCTGTTTGAGATGAGTCGGGTGGAATCTCACACTGTGAGGGCGGCGCTTGCAAAAACTCACCCCACACAACACCAAAAAATTGAGAGGCACTCGGATCGATCAAGATCGGAGATTGATACGTTCAACAACAAGGCATAGTATAGTGGTGCTTTGGACTACTATTGAATACAACAAGACATACTGGACTGCCTTCGGAAAAGAGAACCCCTTCTATCTTTTACACTACAACAGCAGAAATCTGACTCAGTCGGCTGGTTATTCCCTTGTTCCGGTGTTGACACAGCTCTCACTCTACCTACTATATCTCAGCGACGTTATCTCACACACTTTGACTCGGCCAACATGGAAGAAGGCGACGACTATGGCACTGGGGGCCTGATGGATGATCCCGAAGACTACTACCCCTCGACTCCTCCCCCGACGACACAGATCTTCACCATGGGAAGCGGCAAGGAAATTGTTCTACACCTGGTCGGCCACAGCCCTACGGAGGCGCATCACCTGTGGAACGGCGCAAAGATCATATCAGATTACTTTGAGGAGGATCCTGCGCGGGTACGGGGCAAGACCGTGCTGGAGCTCGGAGCCGCGTCGGGCCTCCCGTCGCTGGTGACTGGTATCCTCGGTGCAAAGAAGGTCGTCATGACGGATTTCCCGGATCCGGATCTCGTCATGAACATGCAGAAGAACATTGACGAGTGCGACGAGACGACGGAGCCAAAGGGGCACATTGCCAAGACGATTGACGCGGCTGGATTTGTCTGGGGAGGAGATCCGGCCCCTCTTCTCGCCCGTCTTTCCTCTGACGAGGACGGCTCAAGTGCTGCGAGGACAGAAGAGCGCTTCGACGTCTTGATTCTCGCGGATCTGCTGTTCCGGCACTCGGAGCACGGCGCCCTGGTCAAGACGATTCGGGAGACGATGAAGCCGTCGAGGGAGAGTGCCGCGTACGTCTTCTTCACCTCGTACCGGCCGTGGAAGAAGGACCTGGACATGGGCTTCTTTGACGTGGCGCGAGAGGCTGGGTTCGAGGTGGAGCAGGTTTTGGAGAAGAAGCTGGAGAAGCCGCTGTTTGAGAATGATCCGGGCGATTTGGATGTGCAGAAGACGGTCAAGGGGTTTGTTGTGCGGTGGCCGGAGAGTGTCTGATGATGATGTGTTGATGGTGTTGATGAGGGGTGTGCGGGTTTGGGGATCGTCCTTATAAAAAATTGGGTGCATGGTTTTGCATTGTTTTTAGACCGAGACGGCGGAGTTCTTGAGATAGCGAGCTTTACTATTGATCGATGTTGTGTGCCAGGTCGTGTGACACACGCAAGCTCATCATCATGGCTTTGGTGTTGCATGGCCTTGGAAGATTGTGTTGAGCCACGTCTGATTCCGGTTCGGCTTGTGTCGGTGTTTGTGAGGGCTGCTTTACTTTACATTTCATGCGCAAGATCTGTTCCGTCATTGTTCGCAATGGAGGATGCAGGTGAGCTTTGATGGTCAGTTATAGCGAAGTCAAGGTACTATAAGTAGGTAGTTGCATATGATCTTCCTGAGGTCGATTTACCCGGCCCCGCATCCCGCGATATTATATACAAGGCCTGCTCTGTTAACCATTTCATACACATCACATCAACCACAGCCACACAACCATTCAGCCTCTGCTGCATCATATACAAATCGTCTCTTCAGCTCCAAAATTCCCATCACACTGGCATCCCCTCCTCCCCCACCAGCCTCTCAACCACCAAAAAACCACAGCCCACAATGACCGCCCAAGACTCCTCCTCCCACCTCTCCCAGCTCCAAGCCAACGGCTTCGTCGTCATCAAATCCATCCTCTCGCCCTCGCAGCTCGAGCTCCTCCGCACCGCAAGCCAGCAAGCAACAGCCCTCGCCCGCGCCGGTCAATGGCCTCACGTCCGCACGGTGGGCAAGCAGTTCCCGCCGTGGAACCCGGCGGACGCTCGATCCCAGGGCATCTGGGGCGTGCAGCACCTGATGCACCCGCAGCTGCCCGGGCACGCCGACTTTGCGGCGCTGTACTTTTCCGAAGAGGTCCTGGGGATCGCAAAGGAGCTGCTGCTGGGGTGCGGAGACGAGCATCTGGTGATGGAGCTGTTCAACATGCTCGTGCGGCCGGAGAGGGACTTTGAGCTAAGGTGGCATCGGGACGATATCCCGCCGGAGGCGACGGACGAGGAGGAGATGGAGAGGCTGGGCCGGCCTGCGTTCCACGCGCAGTATAACCTTGCGCTGTGGGAGGACGAGTCGCTCGTTGTCGTGCCGGGGTCGCATGTTCGCGCGCGGACGGCGGCTGAGCGGGCGGCTGGGCCGTTTGAGAGGGAACTGCCGGGGCAGCTGGTGGTGAGGCTGGAGCCGGGGGATATCGTGTTTTATAATAACAATATCCTGCATAGGGGCGTGTACGACTCTGGCAGGGAGAGGGCGACGCTGCATGGCTCGGTGGGACATGTTGCGGGGAGCGGGCTGAGGGCGAGGAACGTGCTGCAGCATGGGGTGGGAGCGTGGGTTGACGGGGTTGATTTGGGGGGGTTGAAGGACGAGGGGGAGAGGAGGAGGGCGGAGGGGATGAGGGAGAGGTTGGTGAGGATGGGGGGTGAGAGTGGTGAGGTTGGGTATTCGCTGGAGGGGTGATGATGATGATGATGATGATGATGCTGTGAATATGATTGATACTATCTTGAAGTCATGTATTAGAGGAGAATTTTGATAAAGATGTATACAAGAGATCAATAGGGGGATATGGTATGAAGCTGGGGAGAGCGACATCTAACGGCATTTTAGCAATTCATACAGCCTCCACTATACCATACATATATTCCAGTTACTAACTAAATAAGCAGGTTCAAACTATCCTCTCTTGTTCTTCCCATTCTCTTTGAGACGATAGAGGAATAAACAGGGCATGTCCAACGCTATATCACAGCTTCATAGTCTCCTCTACTATATGCGGCTATTATAGCACACGTCCCAACAGAGCTGTATGTGTGTGTCAGTCAATCAGAGACACACACACACATACACGCCGATCCTATTTCGAAAATAGCTCAGCCAGATGGAGCAGGTCCATGTACAGATGCGGCATAACACTTGACTTTATGCAGAAGCGAGGCCAAGGGTAGCATTGGACCTCTAGTCTATATAGCGATGGCTGACGACGAAGGATTCTGTCCGAGCGCGGGGGTGATGAGGGGCGACAGGGCAAACAAACAAACCAGTGCATCTCATGGAATCTTGATTTGACAAGATATAAATTGAGACTCTGGGCCATCGTGGCTGTTTACGAGCAGAGGATTAATGAAATTCATCTCCTTCAATTTATCCAACTTGCTATATACTGTAGTCATCCAGCAGTTTTCCCTTGAGCATGGCTTCGCAAAAACGCCATGGCCAGTTGCCTCCCTCAGCCAAGGACGAGGCCATTGAGCCCTTCACACTCAACATCCCCGATGCCGAATTGACTCGCATGAACGCCCTCCTCCAGCTATCGACCATTGCAGCCGAGAATTACGAAAACACGTATGCCGACCAGGCGAACCAGTTTGGACTGACGCGCGAGTGGCTCGTGGCTGCAAAGGAGCGATGGGAGAAGAGCTTTGACTGGTAAATTACCTGCGCACTCACCCCGTTCACTTATACATGGATACTCCTTATACACCCAACACCATCACATACATCATCATCATCATCATCAACAACAGCAACAACAACAACAGCAGCAGCAATTACAACTAACATATACGTTCGTCTCATATCAGGCGCAAGAGAGAAGATCTAGTCAACTCCTTTCCCAACTTCAAAACCGCCATCCCCGTCCCCGTCAACGACTCCCCAACCACCACCACCACCATCAACATCCACTTCACAGCCCTCTTCTCCAGCAACCCCGACGCAGTCCCCATCGTCTTCTTCCACGGCTGGCCCGGCTCCTTCTTCGAGTTCCTCCCCATGCTCAGCCTCCTCCGCGACAAGTACCCCGACGAAGCCTCCCTGCCGTACCACATCGTCGTCCCCTCCCTGCCCGGCTACGGCCTCTCCGACCCGCCTCCCGCGCAGCGCAACTTCACCACCGACGACGCCACGTGGATGATGGACCACCTCCTGACCCAGGCCCTCGGCTTCACCGCGTACGTCGCCCAGGGAGGCGACGTCGGCGCTTACGTCGCGCACTTCCTCGCCCGGGGGTATCCGGCCTGCAAGGCCGTCCACCTCAACTTTCCCGCCGTCCCGCCGCCGCCAGACTTCCTGGCCTCCGCCGCCGCCGAGGAGGAGGAGGAGGGGGGGCTCGACGACGCGGAAAAGGAGGGCATGCAGCGGAACGCAGCGTTTGGGATGACGGGCGCCTCGCACGCCATATGGCACGCCGTCAGGCCGGCCACCGCCGGGCTCGTCATCATGACCAGCCCCCTCGCCATGCTGGCCTGGCTCGGCGAAAAGTTCCTCTACTGGACCGACCCGGCGTCGTTTCCAAACACGCCCAAGGACCCGGACCCGGAGGCGGCGGCGGCGCCAGATGGGGAGAAGCTCCCTTACTCCGTCCAGCTGATGGATGAGGCCATTGCCGAATCGGCCCTGTACTACCTCACCGGGTGCGCGAGCACCAGTCTGTATCCCTATCGGGACCTCTTGGCCAGGGGACGGGCCACGGTCGACGGATCGACCAAGCTCATCGCTGCGCCCAAGATCCTTGGGTACTCGTGGTTCAGGCGGGAACTCGTCATGGCGCCAAAGGCGTGGATGGCCAAGATTGGGAACCTGGTGCTGTATAAGCGGCACGAGAAAGGGGGGCACTTTGCCGCGCTGGAGCAGCCGGCGGTCTTGCTTGAGGATGTGGAAGAGTTTGTGGGCAAGTTGGTCAAGGCGTAGTTGTAGTTACGTATGTGCACGTGCTTTGCTGAATGGTGGACGGATACCTAGGTAGGTAGTATGCAATCTGTAATGTTTCAATTTCATATCTGGTTTATCTGGAAGGGTATTTATATTTATTAATCTTGGTCGTGACAGCCGTAAGATTGAGAATCAAAATCTGAAAGAAGCAGACAAACGAGGTAGCAAAGGAGGGGAAAGGGAAGATGCAACAACGTAGCATCAGCCTCTTAACAGAACTTGCAACTCAGATAACACGCAACCCGCTCAGTTGATAAACAAGACTCTGACGAGTCCTTCGCCATGACGCTGAAAATAGAAAGCGGTAGACATAGGAAAGAAACAAAATCACTTCCTGCCGCGGAAGCCCCCGTCGATGCCATAGTCTGCAAGGCACAGCCCATGGACAGGAGACATTTCGCCATGACGTAGACCTCGCCTGCGCCTGGCCATCTGCCACAGCACTTCCATGTCCGTCCCAAACGCCGTCGCTCGGGGTAGGACGATGGGATGCGGCGGCCTCGTGATTCTCTGCTCAACCGAAAACTGCTTCCACTTGGCGATGGCGTCGCCCCCAATGAGAGGGTCAACAACTTCAAAGAGGATGGCCTTGGCCTCGGGTGCAGGCAGCACCTCTTCGAAAACCACTGCGCCATGCTGCTCCAGCCGCTGGATAGGCGACAGCGATTGGTATGCTGGGTCGGCCTCCTTCTCTGGGCGGAGAGCAAGTCGAAACGTCTTCTGCAGCCTCCGCTTGTTCCCTCGACCGCTCAACATGACGAGGTCGTAGCTCCTGATGGGGTCGTCGGGGACCTCGACTCGCGTTGCCGCCTGCTGCATCCACTTCACAAACGGATGCATGATCCCCCACCAGACGGCGAGATCCGACAGGAACACGTTGAAGTCGAAGCGGACATAGCGGATGCTGGTCCAGTTGAGCAGTCTCGGATCTCCGCTGTGGATGTAGTCGTGGCTCACATCCTTTGCCTCGAGGATATAGGGCCAGTCCTGGATGCGCGAGGAAGCGTCAATCATTCCCCTGAACCCGGGCCCGTCAAACGCGCTCAGCGACTCTTTCAGAATGAGGAGGTCCAGGGCATTGGTCGGCACTTTTGGCTTCATCCGCAGCGTCTCGGGTTCTGGCACAGGCTTGTCGGGAGGCGCCGTGTCCGCAAAGTGCAGCGTGTCAATGTCAAAGTTGAAGAGGATGCGTGGCGAGGCATCCAGGACAATGGGCCACTCCTCGTAGAACATGTCGAGCTTGTGGTTCAACACACTGCGGGTTTCCAGGTTCTTGTAGTATTTGCCCACGATCTGGCGAGCCTCCGCGTTGACATGCATCGCCACGGGAGGGCGGGCGGTGCTCTTGACGCTCCAGAGGCCTTTGCCAATCCGACAGGGAACCAGGCCGACCAGGCGAGGCTCGATGGTGTCGAGCCATATCTTCTCGCGGAGCTCGTAGGGGAGTTGAGAAAAGTTGACCATGTTGGCGAGAGCCTCGGCGACAAACCGATGAGTGATTGAAGGGGAAATGAGGGAACAAGTTGATGTACACACTTGAGAGTGCGGAGTAACCGTCGTTTATATACACGGAGCTCAAGTGTAACCAGCCCAGCGTCAAAGGAATGCTGCTGCTGGGACTGGGCGGCAAGAAGGGGAGGGGGACAAGGGCCAGGACCAGGATCAAGCCAAAGAGAGGACACCGTCGCGACAGACAGTGTATGTAGCAGCTATCGGCTGCTGTCATGAGGCTGTGGCCAATTGAGGGGCCAGATGGGCTGTGAAGCTGACCGGTGGGCAGGGATGCGGCCGAGGTGAGGCTGAACGGTCAAGACGCCTTGCATGGACGGGGGGGAGAACTAGGTGACGACGCAGACGAGATCGACTGCATACGAAGTGCTCATGTGGAGCATCGCAGGCGGGCGCATGAGGCTGAGCTTGTTGAAGAGGATCGGTATTTCAGAGTGAGAAGTCGAGGTTGCTGTTGGAGGAGGACCGAGCGGTTGCGCAACATCGAACCCCAGGTTTTCTCGGGCTCGCTCTAGGGTAAGTGGCCGGGGTTTCAAGTTGGAATAAAGGCCGGCCATTCCCAGTCGGGGCGGATGAGGTAATACACACAGGTTACAGTGCCTGACGGCGCTGAGCTTCAGTGGTGCGTGTCCTGCTGAAGCCTTGCGCCCAGACCAGCCTCCCGCTAGGCCCCAGGCGCTCTAGTGCCCTGTCCCGCGGCCTTGTCTGGCAAGCTTGAGCACCGCATCCATTTACTGCCCGCCAGAAACACCAAGCAAAGCAGCTCCGTCATCAACCTTTCGCTCTCCCATATCCGATCAATAACTCTCTCTCGATCCTGTGCCCGCGAAACCTCCAACGGCTCGACTCCCATCCGACTTCTCCCCACACCTCGATAGAGCTGCCGTCACCATGGGCGCAGATCCCCAGTACGTCAAGTGGCCTCTGCTGCCGCTGTCCCAGCACGTCTTCACCCTCACAAACGCCTATGCCTCCAAACAGGCCCAGCAGGCCGCCGCCAAGGCCCTGCAAGACGCCATCGCCCAGGACAAGATGGCGCCCTTCTACCGCTACCTGGCCCATCCCATCGAGGGCATCCTCAACGCCGTGGGTGAGAGCGGCTCCTCAGCGCCGGGCAAGCCCCCGAGCCGGAAGTCCAGCCTGGTGGGCATGGTGGCGACCAAGGCGGCCACCGGGGCCGTCAATCTGCCGTGGGACGAGGACCTATACAACAAGCTGAAGGAGGACAACGACGCGGAGCTGGCTGCCTTCCAGAAGGAGGAGGAGGAGGCCGAGGAGAAGGCCGGCGACACAGAGGTCATGGCTGCCAAGGGCAAGCGAGCCGACTTTTGGGCCCGGGTGGGCGACAAGGTGCGATTCTGCCCTCGTATTGCTGATGGATAGCTGCTCTCAAGGAGATGAGGGGGATATGCAGAGCTGACTGTGTGCCGCCGTACAGGACAAGGCAATTGCCGAATTCGAGAGCTTATTCGAAAAGACGGGCATCCTGGGCACCAAGATCGACCTGGTGCTGGCCATAATACGCATGGGGCTCTTTTACGGCGACAAGCCCCTCGTCAAGAAGCAGGTCGAGCGGGCCAAGACGCTCGTCGAGTCGGGCGGCGACTGGGACCGACGGAACCGCCTCAAGGCCTACGAGGGCCTGCACCTCATCACCGTCCGCGCCTACAACACCGCCGCGCCGCTGCTGCTCGACTCCCTCTCGACCTTCACCAGCTACGAGCTCTGCACCTACTCCAACCTCGTCGTCTACTCCGTGCTGGCCGGCTCCGTCTCGCTCAAGCGCGTCGACTTCAAGTCCAAGGTGGTCGACGCCCCCGAGATCAAGGCCATCATGGGCGACGGCGAGGACAAGCTGCTGGCCCTGAGCGGCGCCCTGAGCGCCGGCCCCGGCGCCGAGGACCCCGCCGCGGGCGATAGGCTCCCCAAGGCGGCCACGACGACGGCCGTCAACCTGACGACGCTGGGCTCCAGCACCGACCAGCCCGAGGCCGAGATGGCCATTGACTTTAGCCCGCTCGCCCTGCTCGTCAGCAGCCTGTACAACGGCAACTACAAGACCTTTTTCCAGTCGCTGGCCTCGGTCGAGGAGCAGTTCCTCAACCACGACCGCTACCTGCACGAGCACAAGAGCTGGTTCATCCGCGAGATGCGCCTGCGCGCCTACCAGCAGCTGCTGCAGAGCTACCGCGTCGTCGGGCTCGAGAGCATGGCCAATGACTTTGGCGTCACGGTTGACTTTTTGGACCGGTAAGCTGTTTTTTTTCTTCTCCAAATGCACCTATCCTTACCTTGTTTACATGTTTACTGATGATGATTCTGATGCAGTGACCTCGCCCGATTCATTGCCGCCGGCCGCATCCCCTGCACCATTGACCGCGTCACGGGCAAGGGCGTCATCGAGACGAACCGACCCGACGACAAGAACAAGCAGTACCAGGACGTTGTCCGCCAGGGCGACCAGTTGATTACGAAGCTGCAAAAGTACGGCCAGGCCGTCAGACTAAGGGGAAGCGAGAGGGCGTGAGCGGTTTTGGGGACTAGAGGGACGAAGGAGAAAGAAAGAAAGGGAGGGCAGATTAGCTGAATATAGATTACAACAAACAAGCAAAGAATAAAGAAATCTGCAAAACAACGATCTGGGCTTGATATATATCGTATCGTGTCCTGAAAATCATCATTGTACTGCTGGGTAGGTACCTGGTATCATCTGTCCTTGGATGTATCTTCTATCATTTTCTACAAGTACATCATGTCGGCATCAACACCATGTTCTATTAATCCCGCTTCACTTTGGACCAAGAAAGCCACGCAATGAAGACTATTTCCAAGTTTCGCTAACTTTTTTTTTTCCCTCCCGCAAAAACACCTCTACCCTCTTTGACAAGATGCAAATTTTCCCTTTTCTTTGTTGTTTGTTTTTTTTTTTTAAACGCTGGTACATGAGGCGCACAAGCATCTACCTGTACTTGTCCATAAACTCCTGGTGGAACTTTGTGATCCTGCTGACCCATTCGGTGCCGGGGGCGAGGAACGTGGTGCGGAAGTGCAGCGTGCCCTCCTTCTGGCCGAAGCCGCTGCCGGGGACGACGCAGACGCCCGTGGCCTCGAGCAGCCTCATGCAGTAAAACTCGTCGGGCTTGCGGCCCTCGGCGGCGGCGGCGTCCTTTGCCCTTTGGGGCAGGGTGATGGTGGGGAAGAGGTACATGGAGCCCTGGGGCTCGCCGCACTCGACGCCCTCCATCTGCGCAAAGGCCTTGTGGAGGGCGTTTGCGCGCTCGCGGAGGCCGTTGGCGATGCCGTTGTACTCCTTGTCGTACAGCTCGAACGAGGGGTCGCCGGGCCGGGGCGGGTTGACCATGAGCTCGACCAGGCACTGGCCGATGACGGGGGCGCACAGCATGATGGAGACGAACTTGTAGATGGCGGCCTCGACCTCGGCGTCGAAGCCGACCAGCTCAAAGTAGCCGCCGCGGTGGCCGCACTCGCCCACCATGCCCTTGGAGACGCTGTGCAGCGAGGCCAGCTCGACGTCGTCGTACTTGCCCGGGTTCTCCTGCTGCATCTTGCGCAGGACGCCCTTGAAGCTGTGGAACTGGCCGATGAAGACGTTGGTCTGGTACACCTCGTCGGCCATGATGACGAGCTGCTCCTGGCTGGCAAAGTCGATCACGGCGCGCACGTCGGCCTCGGACAGGGAGGCGCCGGTGGGGTTGCCCGGGTTGATGATGACGATGCAGCGGACGTCGACGCCCTCGGACTTGGCCTTTTCATGCGAGGAGCGGATGGCCTCGAGGTCGGTGCCCCAGGCCTTGTGCTCGTCGAGGTAGTAGGGGACGCAGGTGGCGTTGAGGACGGAGAGGGTGGCGGTGTAGAGCGGGTATTGAGGGATGGGGACGAGGACGCCCGACTTGGGGGACTCGGCGAGGATGTGAAGCAGGGTGTTGACGCCGGACGAGGCGCCTGCTGAGAGGTAGATCTTGGACGGGTCCGCGGGGAAGCCGTCTCTCCCTAAAGGGCACGCATCGTCGTGTCAGTCACTATTCCTTGGGGGAGGAGGGTCACTCTTCAAGAGAAAGAAGGGGCTGTTGTGGTACTCACGCTCGAGGAACTTGGCAATGCTCTCCTTGATGGCATAGACGCCGCTGCTGGCGCTGTAGGCACCCACGGAGCCGCAATGCTTGAGCAGGAACTTGGCTCGCTCAATGACGTCCGTCTTGTAGCCCAGGCCGTTGATCAGCACATCCTCCTTGTCGAGCAGCTGAGGGTTCTCCAGCAAGCTCAGGACCTGGCGGAAGAAGGTGATGGGCTTCTGGTCCAGCTGCTGCGGGTTGCCAATGTTGGCCGAGATGACATGGTCAAAGGGCAGGCCGGCGTCGCCCTTGCTCAGCTGGGCGCGCAGCTCCTCCGACTTGACGGCCAGCTCGCCGCGGACGGCGTATTCGGCGGCGCGGACGTGCGGGTTGATGTTGTTGATGTTGAGCCGGCCCATGTTGTCGGCGGTGGTTGCGAATGCGCGGGACGAGTGGACGAGCCTGGGAGTGTGCCTGAGACTGAGACTGAGACTGAGACGGCGACTGAGATGATTGAGATTGGGTTGGTGGGGTGGTTGAAGCCTTGTCGATGGCGGGGCAGAAAATGCGAGGACGGATCGCCGAAGACCGGCAGCTTCTAGATCTTTTTATGGGTAAGTCTGGCAACGATCTTGACAGGGCTAGAGAGGAGAAGAAAAAAAAAAGAGAGAACAAGGGAAGATCGACTGTGTGCAAGATGAGGAGATGCCACGCAAATGGGGGCAAAGAAAAAAACTATCAAGCAGCACGGACAAGCCAGACCGCTGGGGTGGAGCTTGCAGTCTGCCACAGAAACAGCGTAATAGTAGTACCTATCCAGTAAGGCGCTGCAATCTGGACCCTGGAAAATGCCCAGGCAAGACGCCAAACGGCCGGCCAAGGAAACTGTCGGCTGATGGCCACCTCAGTAGTCTGCAAAGCCACAGCATCGCTGCTCTGGCTCGCTGGGCCTGAAGTCGCCACACCAGATCTGGCATGTCCATGACACGCAGCAACGAGGCACAAGAATCAGCGCATCAGTCGCTTGCTTGCACGCGTCATCTGGTCGGGTTGGTGGCCTTGTTCGGGAGGGTCGCACAGGTCGCCGCAGTAGCAGCATGCGTTGCTCCAGACGCGGCGCTTACAGGAAGCTCCAGGTGTTGCGGAAAGACACAAGAGTGAAGTTTCTCGGCGAATCTTTTAAGCTGGCGATGAGCTGGGGGAGTGTGTTCCTTGGCCGTGTAGTTGTCGTGATCCTTCTCAATGGCTTGTCCGTCCAATGACCACTCGGCGGAACAACACGTAAAAAGCAAGCAAAGATGGAGCGCATGAACGGCAAAGAAGTGACAAACTCGGAGCAACCTACCAGCTATCCGGGACGCGCCCAGCAGCGCTCTCCCAGCCCTCGACATGCTGTCCAGCTATACACGACCACCTGGCGACGAACAGAGACCTATCCTCAAAAGACAACGAGAGAAGAAGTCGCCCCGTTGACGCAAGGTCAGAAGAAAACAATGATAGAAGCACCGATAAAGGACGCGTGTTGTCGGTGGATGGATCTGAATTTGTTGGCTTAGAGAACAACCCTCTTGGCTGGCTGGCTGGCCGGGCCTTTTCCCTACCTACCCTACCTACATGTAGTACGGATAATAATACTTTTTGGCCGCACCCTTTTCCTCAATCTCTGACTACGAGGCTTACCTAGTACAAACCTCCTCCCCTCCGTAATACGGCGGCCGTCCTGTGAGTGACGATGCGGACGTTGTCGGAGGACGCTAAAAACGACATGGTTGGAATACCTAGATAAGAGACAGACAACACCTTGTAATAAGTAGGAGGTAGTAATGGTAAAAGCCCTTGGCGCAAGGCTGGTGGTAGTAAGTAATTTCCTGCCTTTCGCCGGTGAGCGAGATGGACCCCTAGAACAGCGTCTGGCAGCGGGTTTGTGGCAGGGATTAAGGTGCTCGAGTAAGCCGCTATCGGCGCGGCTCCCGCCTAACGTAAGTCCCAGCCATAGGTATTATGCAGGGTTCTCAAAGGGAAAAAAAGATCAGAGTTGTTTGTGTTTGTTGCCCAAGCAAGATTCAACACGGCCACCCCACCAAGGCCTGCTTCGAGTTCCACCCGAGAGTTCGGGCTTCGGCACCACCTTTACCCGGAGGAGCATGCCCGTCGTCAGTTGCTCGGAATTTGCGATTGCAATCGCGAATCGATCGAACGACGTCGTTTTGAGCGCTCGAGGCATCGTCGACACAATGGCTAAGAAAGGTACCCGGCAATCCGACTGCAGTTTTACTTGAAGTGCCAACGGAACGATGCTGACAGTCCCCCAGCAAAGGCAAGATTGATCAACGTCCGGCTCATCTCCATGGCCATGACCGGCTTCTTCTACACCTTCAAGCGGCCCAGGACGGCGCCCATGATGGGCATGCTCAAGTACGACCCGATAGGTATGCATGCATAGCTGCGGTCTCGAATTACCCTTTCCTTACTTTGCGGCATCGATGCTGATTCGACTGCTTCTCTAGTCCGCAAAAAGGTGCTGTTTCTCGAAACCAAGAAACGATCCAAATAGCAACATTACTCGAGCAATAAAAAAAAACGACTGCGCACTTTACGGGCTGGATCGCAACGATAGAGCTTGCAGACCGTCCGATGATTTCGAAAATGTTGTGGCTATCTTATGTACAGTATCAATATGGGCATATATGGAGTTTGGGCAAGGGCTGGCATTGCGCTCGATGCGCTCGCAGGTCACGATACCGGGTCTGTTTGGAATAAAATTCACTCCCAAAACCATGGCCGCATGCCGCCTTTGAATTAAAGCGTGAGACAATGAGAAATCGCAAAGATACAGCAAAATGAGAGCACAGGAAATTGCCATTCTAGGCACACACACATCGCGAACATCTCCAATCAGCTCCGCACAACCAATCCCCCACGCCTCCTTGCCCTCTACACTACTCAGTGCAGCAATTCGTTCTGGCTTTCTTCGAATCTCGATTGTTAGCATCAAAGGCGTCCGAAGCTACTTGGTCGTCATGAGGTGCCTGTCTTTTCTTGCTTGCCAGCTGAACGTCCCGCTCGAAATCGGCCACAGTCGGAAAGCTCCAGTCATGTCGGAGCAACCTCGAGCGAATCTCAGCAACCATGTCCTTCGCCGAAGCAGATGTCGACTTGTTGAGAGAGCCGTTCAAAGATTGGCTAGGCTTGCCATGGTTGGCCTGTGGTCGAGCGGAAGGGCCCTCCAAGTCTCCTGTCTCGTGTGCGCCAGGGAGAGCATGGGTTTTGAGAATCGACCTAAGCTGAGTGATTTCACGGCGGCGCTTTTGCTCCTGCATCACAGTTGGTGGAGGTAATGGGGAGCCCTCACCTGGGTCAGGACTGTGGACAGTGACTTTGCGACTGATGACATCTTCTTTGACCACACATCTTTCCGTCACTTCAGGGGCTTCGATGGATCGTGCCATCGGCATTTTGGTAGCCTCACCCGAGGTCCCGGGCTCCGAGGCGACCGGCTTTGGCATCTTGCCCTCGAGCTCTGCCTGAACCCATTCTCTTTCCGTGGTCAGGTAGCTTGCTGAGGATTGAATAGACCTGCTAATCTCCACGATTCGATCCAGTTTCTTGTCGCAGTTCTCGATTTGTGGAATCCTCTCCTTGATGGCCTTGAGCTGTGTCCGGATTGTGTCCACAACCCCAATGTCTTTGAGCCATTGCTTACGAAGCTCTTCGGTTTCCTGATTCTTCTGTTCAAGCCCCTGGATTTGGCGTCTCAATTGGGCAGCAGCCTCACGCTCGCTTGTCAAGGTCGCTTGTAACTCGCAAGTGTTATGATCGGTCTGAGAGGCGAGCTTCTTCTGCTCATCGAGGTGAGAGGTCAAAACTTTGACAAGATCCTCGTTGCCTTGGAGCAGTTGCAATGTTCTCTCCTTCTCCTGACCAAACCCTTTCTCCAAAGCGGCGCAAAGCTCAGCAGCTGCGCTTTTCACAAATGCCGTTGTTTCCCCTCCGTCGCTAATTGCTCCAGCGACCGTAGACTCAATCTTCTCTGCGAACCCCTCATATGCTTGCAATATCTGGCGTTCCAGGTTGTCCAGTCTGTTCTCCCGAGCCGAAAGCTGCTGTAAAACGTCTTGTAAAAGGTTGCTTGTCTCGCGCTGATTGCTTTGCTCGCTGCCTGCGAGGACGTCGAATTTCTGGCCCATCTCTTCACACAAGCTCTCTGTCTTCTTCAAGCTGTGATCCAGCTTCTGCAGGTAGGCCAACACCTCTTCCACTTGCTGGTGGCCCCCTTCCTTGCTTTCTTTGCAAGTGTCCATCAATTGAACAGCCTCGTCTTTGAAGACGTCGAGACTTCGTCCGATTGATGCCTCCAGCTGCGTCACAACATTTGTCATGTCAAGCTGCCCATGTTCCAACGAGTTGATTGCTGGCGACAATCTACCTTTCTGTCAGTAATAAAAGAATTAGTCGCCATGAAGAACTCTCACCTTTGAATGATGTTATTTTCCGCAGCAGCGAGCTTGAGGTCCAGGTCGTCCCTTGACAGCATGTTTGATACGACTAGGTTGCCGCCGGCGACCAGGGAATCCAGTCTGCTTGAACGTCAGAGAGTTTCCCAACCGCAACATAAGAAATAAGAAGTACTTCAAACTCAGCATCTTCATCAATTGCGTGTTCTGTTGAGCATCCGAGTGGCGTTGCTCGTCTTGTTCCGTCTGATGCGCTATCAGAGCGTCCACTTTGGCCTCCAATGTCCGTACGCGTTGATAAGTCATAGTTTGCTCTTCAGTCTGAGTGTTGACATGATTGGCAAACAGCTTTTCTTGAGCCAGTAGAACTTCCTGGAGGGCTAGCCTTTCTTTGAGCTCCGAAACGGCTTGGTTCTCTGATCATCTCATCAGCCAAGTCCCATGCTAGATGAAAGGCACAACACTCACTCTGTTTGATAGCTTCTTCCATCTGCATGCGGTACTCTTCTAGGCAATTCTTCATCTCATCTCGCTTCTGACGGCTGCTCTCCAAAGCCTTCTCGACGGCGTCAGAATCCAACGTTTTGCGCGCGTTTTCCTTCCGAAGCTCGTCCATCATTTCTTCGTAAAATGCACGGGAGCGGACAAACAGCTCCTGCTGTTCCTTGATGGCTTCGTTGAGCTTGTCTCGGCAAGCTCGATGTCTGTCATCGACAAACTCCCTTTGTTTCATCTCCTCGGATAGTTGCTGCCGAAGAGTTGTGAGTTCCTCGTTGAGGGTTTTGTTGTCTCCTACTACTCGCGCGTCCTCTTCGAGCAGCGTCGTGTAAAGCTTCTCAATCTCGGATAGCTTGGCATCTTTCTGATTCAACAACTCTCGAGCCTTTTCAAGCTCCGACTCCTGTTGGTGGATCTCCTCTTGGAGTCTTTGAGCTTCCCGTCGGGCAGCCGAGGACTCCTCGGCTGATATCTGAACGCATTCGTTCCAATGAATGGCGGCTTGCTCCATTGCCAATAATTTCCTATCAGAATTGGGCGATACGTGCAGATTATGTGCTCGCGACCTCTTCTTGGAAATGTTGCTGCTTGCGATAGAAGAGGACCTGTGTCGAGATGGATGCTCATGGCGTTTGGTAGAGCCGTGGATCATCGGCCTGGTTGTATGGTGTTTGTGGCGATGACGGACTGTTGCAGGGCTGTAGTATGTGGGAAGCTCCAAATCGCCACAGACGCTGGGGGTTGATTGACGCCGAGGGTTTGAGCTCATGTTCTTTGCATGAGGCCGGTGCTGTGACAAGTCGCCGATCTCAGCCGGCTTACGGACAGCTGATCTGTGATTGATAGCCGTGAGCAAACCGCTATGTTGCAATTGTGTTGGCGAAGAAGTGAGCTTTGGCGGAGAAAGCAGCTTGGTCACTTGAGCTGTCTCCCCAGCGTCATTTGGCGAGCAGCTTTGGGGGCATGACAAGTCCGCGGAAACGGTGTCGCTAGAAGGCAAGAAAAACTTGGACTTCTATGTTATGTTAGATCTCAATTTCTTTCATACCAAGCACTGACACATGCCAGAGGCAAACAGCAGAATCAATTGACTTACAAGCTGTTGCTTCTTAGAGTCCACAGCGTCCCCTTTCTGCCGTTGAGTGGTGTCTACCTTGCTTGATTTGCCTGGGAGACAGAGCTCCGGTAAGTCCAAAGGAGAGGCTCTCGCCACTGGCTCGCCACTGTTCTTCTTGACGGATGGACCAGCAGGAGTCTGACATGGCTCTGGAGGTCGAGGATCAAGGGGCTCCTTGAAAAGGCCAGGCCGAGGAATATTGGTAAACTGGCCCGGGCGGTGTGGTGCTCTGGGTGGGAAAGTGAAGCCCTCTGACAGTGAGGCCTCGGAGATCTCATTCTTTTCGTCAAACATACCCTTGGCCCAGTCGTTGGTACCATACTCTTTTGTTGACGGAGAGACGGCATCCGGTGCCCGCGTGAGTATGTCGCCAATGCTCTTCTCCTTGATGGGCCATTTGTTGTCGAGGCTTTCTTTACCGGGTGACAGGCCACTAAGGGCAGGACCAGAGCTAAGAGCCTTCATGGCTGCACTGTGAGGGAAGAGGCCCCTCTGAATGCCTGAATGCGTGAGATATGAGGTGTGTAAGCTGCACCTCTCGTCTTAGTTTGATAGAGGCAGCGGGCGTATGGAAATTGAAGCCATCACCACGCCATAAGGCGATGACCAGGAGAAATTGACAGGACAAAGATTGAGTTTATGGATGACGAGCATTTCTAGTATTTGCAAGGCGGTCAGTGACAGCAAGCGAAGGCACCTTATGTACATGGCAGTATTCATGGAGGAAGGAGGTGATGGTGCTCCTTCCAGCAATACGTCGCGAACACTCGCTCCCAACTTCTAAGTGGAAGCCATTGAGAATTGGAGGCTACACTGGTATAAGAAGGATCTAGAAATGTAATTCTGGTAAAGAGTCTTTTTCCCTTACCCTGGTGTTGAATCACATATAACATCGAAACGACAAGACAAAGCTGGACGGGGAGCATAGATCAGGAGTGCAAAGCCTGAGCTCCAATTCCAGTCCATGCTAGGAGCTGCTCTTTGTACGCTGATACCTTCATGTGTTATCTGTCTCTTGCCCAACTCCTGCTTTTAACAAAAGTACTAAGTGTGATTTCATTGCTATAGTTCCATCTGATTACTTGACTTGCTGGTGTAGCGAACCAGTTTTTTCTGCATGAATACTGCAAATCTGGTGTAGGTACTAAACAGCAAAGTCGGGTCGGTGCCTCTACCCTGAACGAACAAGGAGTGTTGTCGACACCGTCGAGGTAATGCATCTGGACACTGGACTCACTGACGCGGCCATTGCCTTTTTCTTACGGACAAGCCTCATGCTTCAATCCGCGCAGTTGCTGGCGAAATCAATGCAGCATGCCGCAAATTGCCTTGGCCGCTTTGGAGGAATATATCTTGAGACACTGCGCGTAATGGCGTTGAATATCCGCCTCGCAGCCCTTCGTCATGGTTAGAGACGACTCACTCTACTATCCAATCCATTGCACCAGCCTCCCAGAAAACCTCACCTCGAGCCCCTCGCCAGCAGCTTCAAGGAGCTGCTGATGCTAATGGCCGACGGAAATTGATGCATCAAGCTTGCCCCCCTCCACAACCCAAGACGCTCAACGCCCGTCACTAAGATCGTGCCTTTCTCAAATCGCCATAAGCGCGATGCACTAATACGTCTTCCTCCTCCCCCCCCTCCCAAGTCATAAAAATAGGCTCTTCCTAGTCTCGCATCGTCACGGAGCCGTCACAGACAGATTCTGCGGGCGCCGCCGTGATGCTCTCATTGTTTGGTCCGTTTGAGGTGATGCAAAAGACGGCAGCCATGCCTCTTGTACACCTCATTGGCCCAGACCCCTGCATGCGCCGTTGGCGTCGGCGCTTGTATGGCCAGACGAGGCCAATCATGGCGGTGCAACTCCGGCTCTTGGGTCTTATCCAGGCACAAACGAGTCACAAAAGAGAGAAGCCGGGGGACGATGGGCGGCGCAGGGCGGTAACTGAGACTGTACTTGGCCCACGGCCGGCACTTGTATGCAGGCACTTGTCGCAAGGAGAGAGCTGGGGGTGGGAAAAGAGGAGGATTGGGATGATGGAAGAGAGGACATGGCAGAGACGGGCGGTTGTGAATAAGAGTGGGCTATGGCGCAGTATATCTCCGGTCTCACGTCTGATCTTTGGATGTTGTTGTTCTAAATATCCTTTTGCTTGCTGCAACATCTCGAGATATCTCGTATGACATCTTGGTTTCTCAGACGATTCCTCCTGGCTGTGCCCATTACACACTAGACACAAACGCATACCAGTATAGACGACAAAAGATACCGATCGAGACCCTTCACCATGTCGCAGACGTCAGCGTACTTTCCTCTGGCGACGGACGACTCGTGGCAGGGCGCTTCTGGCAGCATCACGGACCAGGACGGGACCGCCGCCGGTGCCGCAGGCGACAGCTCTGCCAATTCCATCACCCTCTCAACCGGAGCTCTGGTTGCCATCATCATTGTGGTTGTGGTGGTCATCTTGATTGGCAGTAAGCATATCTCAAACCCTTGGTACACAGACACACACACATTCCCTCAGAAATGCTGACGCTTCCCCCCAGTATCAACCGCCACTCTCTTCTTCATCGCCAAGAAGCGTGAATGGACCATCAAGGAGACCATGAGAAGGTCGGCCAAGAAGGTCGCCATTGCCCTCACCCCAAGGCGATCCGAGTTCCCCCGTTCTGTCAAGGGCTCAACGCGCTCTAACCGACGAGGGCGAACCAAGCTTGACGACGTGCCGCCAACTCCTCGACTGCGACCTGAAGACGTGGAGAAGGGCCTGGCCCGAAGCGAGAGCAAGCCAGTCGAGCGGAAGTCTGACGACAAATGACGGGGCGTGGAGATGTGTGTGCGTGCGCGATGAATAGGTGTACAGGCGTACAGGTTGGGTCAGCAACGGCTAATGGGCGATTGTGCTTTTGGTTCTTTCTTGTGGATGAAATTATGATTTCGCTCATGGCATTCCCATTGTATATACATATATCCTTTTGCTTCCTTTCCTTTCCCTTTACTTGGTATTTGAATTGATTATGGGTATCACATCCTTCTAAATGTGTTTGAGCTGGCACTCCTCCTGGCCTTGTTGTTGCGCTTCTGTGGAGGGGGAGCGTCCTCCTCTTCTTGCTGCTGGTGGGGCTGCTTCTTCTTCCTCGACTCTGGCACAAAGGTGACTTGTCTCTCTCCACGAACTTCGCCAAACTGAGCTTTGTTGGCGCGTGTAGACTTCTGTTGTCTGGATCCCAGCGCAGAATCCTTGACTTGTCGGCCTTCGTTCTGTGTCGATGAAACCTTCATCACCACGTCATCTTTAGGCTTGGAGATGGGCTCATCCGCATCGCTAGACTCCTCATCAGAGTCCTTGCCTTGGAACTTAGTCGTTCCATGCTTGGCCTCCAGAGCCTGTTGAACCGCTGTGCTCGGGTTGAGAGCCTTGAATTCACCGCTGTTCTCATCCACCAGGAACTCTTCGTCTTCGAACAGCTGGGTGAAACGCTTGTCTCCCAGGATACCGGCGTTGGTGTCAACCTCGTCTCTGTTCTCCTGCTTCTTGAGAAGCTTGTCAACGAGTTTCTGGTTGACCTTGACCTTCTTCGTGCCTCGGATGCGGCTGGCGCGCTCCTTTTCAACCCTCTCCTTGACGCGCTTCTGCCTCTCGTCCTCGAATGCGTAAGGGTTTGTGATGAGCTTGGCCTGCTCGTACAGCTTGGACGCCACAAAGTAACCATGCATATATGGCCGCAGCAGATTCGTCTTGCCAATCAAGTGTGATAGACTGAGCTGCTTGAGCTCTGGCAGGGTCAGGAACTTGTAGTTGTCGTAGGTCTCCGTGCGGACCTCTTCCGCCATCTCTTCCACCATGTTATCCAGGAAAGAGCACCATTTGGGAGCCGGGCCCAGCTGGGGCACGAAGAAAGCGTGCTGCTGCTTGCCTTCGTTTGCTGTCAGCAGCATGCCAGTGTTCTTGCACCAAGCCACGTCGTTGATGTCGACTACGGGCTCAACTGATGTCCACGGGTCGCCCGTCGCCTCGTCCCAGATCTTGATAATGCGCTTGTCGGCCGACAAAACCTTCTTCTCCTGCGAAGACGTCGTCATGTGGATCAGCTTCTTCACGGCGAAGCCATAGCCGTGATCCTTCTTAAGCAGAGGGGTTGGACGACGAAGGTCGTACAGTTGGATCATGCCAGTCGAACTGCCAGTCGCCAGTGACAGACCGGAGAAGTGGAAATCGAGAGCCGTGACGCCACCGTCGTGGCCGGCAAGCAGCGCGACTCGGGACCTTGACCGGGGATCCCAAAACTCCACCGTGCCTATTGATGTACCAAAAGCGAGAAGGTTGTGTGTATCTTCGGCGATGGCAGCGCAGTTTACGCTGCCAACATTGATGCCTCCCTGCAGGCCGCCACCCAGCTCGTCATCTCCCCCGACCTCAATCTGGTACGACTTCATAAATCTTCCAAGTTCGAGGTTCATGCGAAAGACTTCTCCTTTGCCGTCAGCGTCAATGCCAACGGCAGGGACAAGAGCCTCGGTGGAATGCCGGTCATACACCAGATCTCGTCCGTACCGAGGAATGCGCGCTTCATAGTGGCAGCCCATGGGGGTGTGGAATTCGAGTTTTCGGTCGTTTTGGAGGTGTAGGGATTTTGAGTAGTCGGTGGAGAGCAGGACAAAGGTCTCGTTGAGCGAGGTCGTGTGTCTCGCGAATGACAGGGAGAGCTGAGGAAGATTGTGCACATGGAGCTGGGGCTTGTACGTGCCCGTGCTCATGACCCATTCGCCATCCTCACTGATGCGGATGCACTGACTGGCCTCTTCGAACTCGAAGTCCTGAAGCAGCTCCACGCGGTTCTGGTACTCGACATCGTTCTTCAGACTGCGCTTCCGGCGGCGAGCCAGCCAGTCTGGGAGAGGGCGCGCTGTGGAAGCGCCCGAGATTGTGTAGACGGGGACTGTCCCCGGGTTGGAGAGCTTCATGGCAAGAAGAAGTGACTGCCGATGTCAGTTCAGCTTCTCGTTGGGATATTGGCCGAGAAAATGTCTGCAGTCGCAAATGTAGGTTGCTAGAGACGAAGTTTCATGGCGGGCGATTTTGCGTCTAACAAAAAAAATCAAGGTGAAGAAAAAACTGGCCCCACCTCGGTGGACGGTGAGCAGCTGCTCGGGGCGCCGGTACGTACCACAACGGCCTTTGTCTTGGTTCGCCTCACCGAGCAGCAGCAGCCAATCGCCTGCAACGCGCTGGATCCAGCACGCCCCGGACTCCCTGGACACCTTCCCAGCCCTGTCGCTTTTGCTCCAGTCCGCGATGCGGTGCATCTCCAAGCCTTCCACTTGAATCTTATCTCCTCCTTCTGCTGGCCTGAGGCTGCGCATGCTGGCAATCCGAGGCATGTCGCTGACGCGGTCGTAGAGTCTCTCTCTGCCTTTTCTCTCATCATTCTGTGCTTCGGACGCCTCGTGACTCGACAACCGGCCCTTTTGAGCATCGCGCGCCTGCCGAGGCGACGCTCCCCGACCAGCTCCCCGACCAGAGACGACCCTCGTTGAGATGGAGCCCGGGCAGAACGGAGCCTCAGAATTGCTTCTCCTCCTCACAACTGCTTCGTGAACCCGGTCATCGCCCTCTTCCTCTCCGGCCCTCGGTTCGGCCGTTTGCGCGATAGAGCTTGGGACGCCGTGGCTCCGTTGTCGACGACAGCCAACTGCGCTGTCACCGGCTGCCACGAGCCCGATTCACACATAAGCAGTCGATATGGATACTGGAGAATATGAAACTAATACACTGTTGATTGTGAGTCTGGCACCTGTCTTTGATGGCTTTCACCTCCCCTCCTCCTCGGCTGACCCTGGAGTTCCAGAACAATGTCTCGTCGATCGCTTATCGTCTGTACGAACCGGCGTCCAATCTGTCGCAAACCTTCGCTTCGACTGCTCTCGACATCGAAAACTCGCTAAGGGAAAGGGGCTACGTCGTTCTATACGATGCGACGAAAAGGGGGCTGTGGCACTTTCAATTTCTTCCCAAGGAGGCGAGGTTGGATGATTTGGGCGACGGCCTCGAGCTGCCGCCCGATGTGACCGGACAAGGCCTTGCTGTAAAGGAACATGGTGTCATAGAGCCTCCGATAATACAAAAGCCTCGTTCTCAAGCGCCCCAGTCCAGCCTCACACCCACGAGCCTCTTGTCGACGTCGTCCCCTCTAGAGCAAGCCCACCGCCCGACCCTCTCTTCGCCACTGCAAACCACCGCGCCCGCCTCGCAAGACCTGGACCCAAAGGCCGAAGCCAAGCTCAAGGCGACGACAGCTCAGAGGGCATTGTACGAGAAATTGATCGCGTCCGTCTTGTCGACGTTATCCACCTCGTTCTGTCGCCGAACCGGGGCAATCCCTCTAAACTACCGAACTGTCTTGCTCGCTCCAACCGCATACAATGCGCAGCCGCATGCAGTTGCCGTGGGCAGGCCGCAGATACTGGGCACTTTCAGGGTGTACCTGACAACGACGGGAGCAATGATGATCAGTCTGGCCCTTACGAAATGCCGGGGGATTCTGTCACTGGACGATGCTGTTCCCTCGGGTCTGGCCCCTCCGGGCTACTCTGTTCTTGCGGCTCCTTTCGGCATCATGACTGCTGCCCAGAGCTCGGTCCCTGGTGGTGACGGCTCGATGAGCTTGGCACAGACACCCATGACGCAGTTCTTCAACTTCCGTGGCGGAGTCGATGGACAAGAGTCCGTTTGGAAACAAGCCTGCCTACGGTTTCTGAATTTCCGGGGCATAACTGCCTCAACGCTGGAAGGCTGCCTGTGGGTGAATCTCTTCGTCCCCAAGCCAAAGAACCCTGACAGCAGGGGTGATCAGCGGTTGTCAAGCGCAAACTCTTCATTCACGCTGCCATGGCCCAGACGTCTCTGTTTCCGCAAAAAGAACGTCGACGCATCCTCGACTAGCCGTGTCGTGGACGCCGTGTTGAGCGGTCATGAGGAGAGTCACGATCCTTTGGGCAATGCTAGGGGATGGTATGCCGCCGTTACGGAAAGGGAAGAAAAGGCGAAACGGGCCATGGAGCGAGCAGCCACTCTTCTCAAGGAGCAGAATCAGAATCCAGAGTCGAGAACGCCCAAGCCGAGTGGCTTGTCGCCTGTAGCTCTACAGCGCCCCAATACGGCAACAGCTGGCATCATGTATCCAACGCCGCCAGACGGGGTTCACCAAGCGAATGGCGTAACCCCGTCCATCGACGGCACGCTTTCCAGCCCCGGAAACCCATTATCGGCACCAATGGTTACAGAGGCAGATGCCATTGTGCAGCATGAGCCATCCAACGGCGACAGCCTTGACCAGCCCCTGGAGTTCGCAGAGTCCAAGAGACAGCGGAGCGATAGTAACATCCTTGGTGATACTGATCAGATCTTCGGGGGAGATATAGGGGGAGATATATTTGACGACAATGACATTACCGAAGCCGACTTCAACTTCTTTGACGAGAAGCCAGACGACGTGGATGCCGACCTTCCCATGGCCGGCATGCCTGGCTCCGATATGATACTCCCTCCACCACCCCAAACTGCTGAAGGGGGTGTTATACTAGGCGATAGTGCGCCACTTCTCCCGGTGCAAATGGCCGCGTCGCTGCCTCACCACCCTTCCGCTCCTCTCCCAGCTCCAATTGCGGCTCAAGCTGCTTCTCCTGCTCTTGCGCCGATATCTTCTGCGCTCCCGCCGCCGCCACATGCCGCGCTTCCTCCCCCTCCACTACCTCCCCCTCAAGACAGGGTCGTGTTTGCAAAACCAGAACTGAAGCATGCCAGAAGCCAGAATGACGACCAAGCCCGTCGAAGCCGTGGAGATGTGCGTGTAACGCCTGCAAAACGCGAGTCCAGCCCCTTTGACCCTTACGCGGTGTTCAAGCGTGTGAGGGCATCCCTCAATTCTAAGGGGTCCTCTCAGCCTTCGTTAAGGAAGGCCAAGGTCTTTGAGAGCCTCGACTTTGACCCAGCATTGCCCTTGATCAACAAAAAGTATGAGCAGGGGGGGTTTTTCGACCCGAACACTCTGTCAAGGGTGGAAAAGATGGAGAAGGCGAGCTCAGATCTTCGGACCGTGCCCGAGACTGACTATCTCAAGCGGCATGGCAAAGTTAACAGGAGGCCGCGGGAGCGACCAATGACTCGAAGTGCCATGAGCAAGCCATACTCCGCACTAGAGCTGCATGGGTCGACCGGTAGCCCAATGAAACTGGATGCATCATTATCCGAAGGCGAGGAGAGCAGCGTGGAATCGGACCAGGATGACTCCAGCTACACATCGGACGAGGCCGGCTCACCGCACAAAGCCAGTATCAGGCTGATCAACGGTGACGACGATATACTCTCCCAAATCACCTCGCTGAGAGATGGTGACATTGAAGAGCCTGATCACCAGCTGGCTATGGAGTTGCCACGGCTCTCCAAGTCTGACACGTCTGGAGCACCGCTGTCCTCGTTGTTCTCTGATCCAGAACCCCTGGCGTTGGACATGGCCTTGAGTGACGACGACATGATTCAGATTGCGCAGATTGTGACGGAACAAGCAGCAACGGGGGGGCTGGATATCTTCAGAGCATCGGACTTTGAGCCATCTACCCTCTCAGCCAGCCAGAAGCGTCAGGAACTATCAAGTTACGGCCGCGACGCCTTTCATACGCTGGAAGAGGTCGTTGCACAATTCTTCGAAGACACGATGCCGATGCGTCTGAAGGGCTTGTTGGATATTCAGGACGTACCGCTCTTGAGCCAGTTTCAACCGCGGCCGATGCAGGGCCGAGACGGAAACTCCGAGGCCATGAGGCCAAGCAACCTGTACCAGATTCCGAGCCCGCACTTAGAGGTGCAAAGGGCAGACATGAAACTGTCTGTTCTGCCGTCTGCAGTTTCCTTTTGGGAGAGCCTGGGTCTTTCTCCGTCTTCCGGCAGCAAGAACATCAACGCGTTTTGTGTGTTTCCCGGATGGCCTGGAATGGGAGACAATGTCCTGACCTTTCTGGATCGCATCAAGAGTGTTTACGAGTTCTTGAAACTGGGCACATTTGATGTCATGCCCCTTGGTGCGGATTTGGAACCAGGACTCTTGCCATATGAGGTTGATCGGATCACCACGTCTCCAGATGCCACCGTGACGGGGCATGGCTCGGCCATGATCGAAAGCTTGGAAGCGCTGCGCGGGTTGTTCACCAGCCTGTCCATTACCGAGACGAACTTTGTCATCTACTTTGTCTACTCGCCGGACAATCCCGGAACCATTATCGAGTCTTGCACAGCTTTCCAGCGGTTTTTCGAAACCTACCAGAAGATTCTGGCAACTCGAAAGGAGCCTCCGCAGAACGAGCTCGTTTTGCAGCTGGTATCAGCAGATCTGCTCTCTTCGCCTACAGCCTTTGTTGTCACTCCGACCCCTGACCTCATCAGACTCTGCATCGAGACGTATGATCGTTGCACTCTCTTTGGGGGCCCAATGCCGGCCCCGGCGATCAGGCTTGAGCAGCTCCTACCGCGCATCATCGACTTCAAGCTGACGACGAACCCTTCAGCGTCCCTCATTCGCGAGAATTCGTGCATTCATGTAGCATATGCGCAAAGCGTCGACGAGCGATGGATTACGGCCGCGTGGACAGACGACAGGGGAAACCAACAAGCGACGGCGTCTTACTGCTTGGCGAGAAAGGGGAAGCCACCATCTCGAAATATGAACGACATCGCCCATGAGATATGGGAGACTACTCTCGAACTGATATCCGCCTGGAAAGTTCTGTGGAGGGTTATCATAACGAAATGCGGGCCCATGCCACAGCACGAGATGGACTTTTGGGTTGACCTCGCACGCACCGAGATCAACGCCAAGGTCACGGTAGCTTTGCTAACGGTTGATACGAACCCATCACTCCAGCTTTTGCCGCCGGTGGTGAGGCTTCCACCCCCCTCGGCTGCTCTCCATACGCCAGTCTCCACGCCGCAGCCGAGCGTGCTCTCCCCCGAGCAGATTGCCACTCCCGCAACTCCCGCCCGAGAAGCCAACGTGGCGACGGCGGCTACACCCTCTGGCGATGGCGGCGCCTCAAATACAAGCACTGCCGACGCGGATGCGGACGCCATCTTGGTCGACGTAACGGATCAGACGTGGGGAGCCATTGCAGGCCACCGGCTTAGCAACTCCACGAGCATTTTGGAAGTGCAGCCCGCCTTGATCAGCGGCTATCTGATCAAGCGGACGGGGATCAGAGTGGAAGATGCCCCCGTCGCTATGGAGGTCAACCTGGTCTATACGGAAGCAACGCCACGCGTGCACGAACCCCTCTTTCGAGAGATGTTGGGATACTTCAGAGGACTGGGCACTCTGGCTCGGGCGCGTGGAGTGGTGGACAGGGAGGGCGACGTGCGGCCCTGGCATGTTGCGGCTGCTGAGAAGGCTGCGCGTGCGTTGTATCTGTTGATGTAGAAAAGGGGGTTTTCGCGTCTGCGGAACGGAGACGGGGGAGAATGAGGGGGAGAAGGCTCGATTTTTTTTTCCCTTTGTTTTGCTCTTGGCTTTTCTTATTGATACCTTTTGTAACGAGGCATATTGGAGACTACAACTTTCGAGGCGTTTTTTTTTTTTTTCTTCTTTTTTCCCTGTTTTGACGGCGTTGGAAATGGGCTCGTCGGGAGCTGGTGGTGGTCCATTTCTTGACATTGGGATGATAGAGCTGGGGCGGGAGAGACTGAGGGTTGACGACTCTGCATATGCATATTGATAAGAGACGATGTTACGGACTGTAGATGGGTAGATTCAACATTTGGTGCATCAGACGGAGTGGTGGCTGGGGTGGAGTGATGCCGATTCTGAGCGTGAGTGAAGCTTCTATAACGGAGGAGGATGAGAGAGTTGTCAAAGAAGGAGTACCACAACTTTACCCTCACACCGCATGAGTTTCGAAGAAGAATCAAATATTATCCCGTATATATATTTTTCGAAGCCCAAGTACGATGTTTACAACAGTCATTATACGGATAGCAGCTTGAGTATTAACATGTGCAGAATCCATCATTTGGGTTGTTGCAGGATTCATCAGGAGTTCAGGTTAGGCAGTCTTGTATACAGGTAGGTATTGTGACCTGCTACCTGTACTTACTAAGATGACCCGCTAGGCGCATACATACAACTGAAAGAGCTTTCCTTCTCATTCATACGCGAGTGACTAAGAAAAAATAATCTTCCCTTCTCCTTCACTCGTCGTCCCTGTTCACCTTCTATTGTGATTGATTTTGCGTCAGGCAGGGAGAAAAAGAGGAGCCTGGAGTGAGTCAGGATCTTTCTGGTTTCGCCACGTCCTGGATAGATTTGCCTTGCGTCACACTTGGTGCTGAGTCTAGTAAGTTTTAGTGGATGAATCATCGTCGTGCAGGCAGAAATGCGGCGAAGTTTTGATGCTGATGGTGAACGAGCTTCGTCAAGCATAGAATAGATAAGATCACCTCCATACTTGCATGACAGGATCGTATTGAGATCCACGACTCTTTTTTTGTTTCTTTGCAATCGCGCAATCATAGACTTCTGTTTGTCCTTGTCTTGGAGGAGGGACTATCACGATGAACAGGCCCTCGCTGGCAAACCTGCCCGACGACCTCATCCTCGACATTGTCCAGCATCTCGACACAGCCCGCGACGTGGCTCATCTGGGGAGCACCTCGCGGCACGCCCATGAGGTCATCAACCAGAGCGGATGGCGGAGCTTCGTGAGGGCAAAGTTCCCCTCCATTGACGCCCCCACGGGGCTGCTGATGGGTGGTGGATGGAACGCCGTGGCAGACCGCCTGACGTATCTGGATCGGTGCTGGGATACCCGTGGCTTCCACCTGACGGTCTACGGGGAGAAGGCGCCGGCACGGCCCAAGAGGAGGGACTTTGCGAGGAACAGGCAGTCGGTCAACTTCCACTCCGTCATTGATGCCGCGACGCTGGTGTCGACGCAGGAGGAGTTGCTGGCGTACGGAGCCGGAGAGAATCTGGTCATTGGACGAAGAGGCGTGAGTGGCAAGGGCCGAAGCCGCTGGAGCAAGCTGGGAGGCCGCGAGACGGGGTATGCGGCCGGGACGGGAGACGTGACGGCGATCAGCATCATTGAGCGGCAGGAGGCCCCAGAGGTGGTTGTTGGAAGGGCTGATGGAGATGTTCAACTGCTGTCCGTCGGAGATGAGACGCTGTTGAAGGCGTCTCAGAGCTTTGCTTCTATACACGACACCGCCGATCCAGCAAAGGCTCCCCTGACACGAAGGTCTCCCGGGCAGAGAGCCATCTCTTGGACCGAGTGGCAGCCCGAGGCCAAGCTGCTGGCAAGTTGCAGAAGCTCCGTCCTGACGCTGTACAATCTTTCTGACACCGAGGAAGCGACGCTGAAACCGGTGCTATTCTATGACGTGTCCAAGGACAGCTCTGCGGACGAGGTCTCGCTGCTACGCAGCGTCAAATTCATGGGCCAGGACGTGGTTGCCTGCGGAATTGGTGGCAGCAGCGAGCCCTTGCGATGGGCCCAGATTCGACCTACAGGGATTGAGTTCACCAATGCAGCCAAGAATATCAGGTTGAGCGCGGAGGGGTCCTTTGCAGACTCAGGGCGACTGGCCGAGAAGACGACGGTGCGAGCCATTCAGCCAGTTTCACGGATGAACCAGAACCTGCTGCTCAGCGCCTGGGACGACGGAAGCCACAGGTAAGACGACAACAGCTCAAACGTTGGGAGGCTGTTATAAGTAGCTAACACAACATGTTGATGCCAGGATTTCTGATTTGCGAACCCCCTCGGACCACGACGTTCTGTATCGCGATGGCTTCCAGCCGTACCAAGGCAGCAGCTCACTGCTCGTATACGGATCCGAACGTTTCGTGGCTGGCAACAACTGTAGCCCCGACCTTCGCTTCTTTGATTTCCGTTTCCCAAAGGCGTATCACCACACCAGCGCCCTGCCTTGCAGCGCGGACGCGCCTTTCCCCGGACGGCCCTATCAGTACGGTGCCGTCAACGACCTGGATGGGCTTCAGCTGGACCCGGTCGACAAGTGCGACTCGGCGTCTGGCCGGGCATGCACATGGCACCACCTCTCACGGCAAGACAGCTGGCGGCCGGACGCGGTCATGCACATTTACTCCTCCTCCATGGACCGAGTTCACTGCCTAGCCAAAGCGTCAGACCTGTCGACGTCCTTCTACTGCGGCGTCAGAGGAGCTCTGGTGGAGGCGACGCATGCCCTGGCCGAGGACGTGGACGCGGTTGCTTCTAGCCGGTCCGCCCCGGAGGGATGGCAGGCCAGCGATCCAGAGGGGCGAGCCTCGCTGATTGAGACGGGGGTGGGCCGCCGGGATGGAGATTCGCAGCTGGATGAGCAGACGCAGACGAGGATGCCGGAGCTGTACTATTACGAACGGTGGACGATTCCAGAGACGGAGGGCCTGGAAGGGGGAGGAGAGACGGCAAGGAAGAGGGAGACGGGTCGGCGTTTGGATCCGGCGCTGGTGGCCAGCCGAAGGAGCAGGTGAGAGATATCACTTGTGTGTCACGATTTACGACTTGGATGAGATTTTGTTAGACTTCGAAATGCATAGAGGAAAAAAAGAAGGGAATGATGAATAATATAGAGCACACAAGGCGTTTATATGGAATATAGATCCTCTGTCCAAGCTTGCTATATCCGCAAAAAGAAAAGGTGCAAGTTGTACATGCATTAATCGTCAACCTCCATATCGACTCATCCCGCTCAATTCACGCTCACAGCTTCGTGTCCGACACAATCAAGGACACCTTCTCCCGCAATACCGTCTCGGCCTCCTTTTCAATACGAGCCACCAGCTCCGCACACGTTGGGATATCGTGGATCAGTCCCATGACCTGACCCGTCGTCCAAACCTATCATCCATAAAATGTTAACAGTGTCACGTCCAAAAAAGAACCCCCCCCCCTAGGAAAAAGACGACGGAAAAGAACGTGATACTCACCCCATGCTCCGGATCACCATTGATAAAGACCTCCTTGCCCCTCTTCCCACTCACATACGGCGCCACCTCCTTGAAATCCCCCGTCTTGCTCTCCCTCTCAATCTTGAGCGCCTCCTCGGTGACCTTATTCTTGTACAGCCGCGTCGTGTTGGTCCAGCGCCTCAGCAGCAGCGCGGTATCCGTCTCCTGGCCCCTGACAATGGCCTCCTTGATGTTGCGGTGCACGGGCGCCTCCTGGGTGCACACGAAGCGCGTGCCCATGTTGATGCCGCACGCGCCGAGCACCAGCGCCGCCGCGAGCCCCTGGCCGTCAGCAAAGCCTCCCGACGCGATGAACGGCGTGTTGAGCGTCTGCCGCGCTCGGCCCAGCAAGATGAAGTTTGTAATGTCGCTCTCGCCCACGTGGCCCGCGCACTCGAAGCCGTCAATGCTTAGAAAATCAACGCCCAGCTTGACCGCGCTCTGCGCGTGCCGTATCGTGGTGCACTTGTGCAGCACCGTGATGCCCGCCTGCTTGAGCTGGCGGATCACGGGGCCCGGGGAGTTGCCCGCCGTCTCGACGATCTTGACGCCCTCGTCGATGATGGCCTGCGCGTAGGCCGGGTAGTCCGGAGGCAGCAGGGACGGGAGAAGCGTCAGGTTGACGCCAAAGGGCTTGTCGGTCAGGGTGCGGCAGCGGCGGATCTCGGCGCGCAGGGCGTCGGGGCTGGGCGAGATGAGGGCGGTGATGATGCCCAGGCCGCCGGCGTTGGACACGGCCGAGGCGAGGTCTGCGGTGCCGACGTGCATGAGGCCGCCCTGGATGACGGGGACTGGATGTTTGTCAGCGGCGTTGAGGGCAAAGGAAGGAGATGTATACTGGAGGGGAGGGGGTTTGGTAGGTAGATACATACCGCGGATGCCTAGACGGCGAGTGAGTTCTGTGTTGAAGGGCATCGTGGGACGTGTTGTGTGGTGTCTTGTCTCGTCTTGTCTGTCTAGTCGAACCTCGGTGATGGTGATGGGATTCTCTACCCTCGGACTCTATCTAATGAAGATGACAATAGGAGAGATCGCCGTCTTTCTTATTCTAGAATAACCGCACTGATATATAAGACAAAAAAAAAAAGAGTGCAAGAGCTACGAAACAAGCATCAGCACGAACCCATCATCGTCTTAAAGAAGAGTTAAGAAGCACTCCCCGAAAGCGAACTGTGGCACGACATTGTTATCCGCTATGCCGAGGCACGTCTCGACGTTCCGGCTGACGTGACCCCAGAGATCTCACTTTAGCGGGCTGCGTCTCCCCACTGAAGGGAGGTCCCTAGCAATTGAAGCTCGGCCCCCGCGTTTTCTCTTCTCCGGGCTTGTCGGTCGGGCTTCACATGCAAATGTCGGCCGTCATCTGAGGAAACAACCTGTATTACCTAGGTACGCACACATGTTTTGACACTTGAATTTTTTGACGTCTGCATCTGTATGTTCTTGCAATAATCACGTATCTGCATCCTCTTTATATATATTGAATGATCAGCTGTGATAGTACAGTTCAGATGCGATCGTACTTACTGATGCTTCCTTTTCTGGGAGATCAGTAATCCCTCCAAGCTCGGTGGGGCTGCATCTGCATCTTCCCTCGGTTTGTTCTTCTCTGCAGGTGGTCTGTGTCTCGTCAAATAGCCAAGGTCAGGTCATCAGTCCAACCTCGATATCAATTATTGATGCGCATGTCAGCCTACCAACTACATAGTATGCTATAGTCACCAAATCAAGAGAAATTCCAACTTTGTACGCCACGAGTGTGTCAAGAGGAGGGAATGATCCTGCTTCTCAAACAACTATCTGCCTACCCGTTACACATGTACAAATAACACTCCAATCCCTTATCCATCCACCGACTCCCACTCTCGCCCAGTATTTGCCCAGATCAAATCCACATGTACAATTTGTCCCACGTTTTCCAGAACCATATATCCGTCGCAACCATCTATGCGAGCTAGCCAGCTCAGCATGATATTTCGTGTGCCAAAGAACCAACGCCTGTCGCCCAGCCTTCAAACACTTCCTTGACATTCCGCCAGTGCATCTTCGGTGTCATCCAGAATCAAGCCATGGCCGCATTTGGTGCCAAAGCCACGCGGTCTCTCGGCTTGTCCACCAGGTCAGCATACCCATCCAAACTGGCACCCATCGTCTTGATCATGTCAAAGATGTGAGTGCCCTTGAACGTCTCGCCCCAGAGACGCACAACTGCACTTGCGAGCTGCCTCAGCTTCATGGGGTCTGTGGTTGCTGCTTCCAACTGCGGGTTTGCATTTGCACCAGTCAAGGACGGGTCAACGGGAACGGCGAATTCCGTTTCGTCCAGCATCCTCCTCACTGTCTCCAAGAGATTCCTCTCGTCGAGGGTGATGGGAGCATCAGACGGCGTAAGAGATCCCAGTGTCAACAGCCACTTGGCTAGAAGAAGCGCACACTCGAAATTACACACTTGAAAAGACGAAATGGTCAGCTTATTGCAAGGAAAGAAAGTATCAGAGAGACAGAAAACTTACAAGAGTGCTGAATGCTCCATTCTGTAGACTTGGTTCTCGCAACATAGTTGACACCCGCCTTGACCAGCATGGACAAGGCGTGAACCGCTTGGAACACCGCTCCGTGGAGCCGCACACTGCGCACAAGCAGAGGGGTGGAAATCATGGCCGACGCCATCAGCATCGAGTCCCTCGTCTGCAGCTCTTTGCTTGGAGGAGTGTCGCTATACAGCCGAATGTACGCAAGACGCAAAAGAGCCGTTGCGTTATACGCCAGCAGGCCGCCGGGAGAAAAGTCTGTGCTGGCAAACGGCCCGGAGCCCGTGGCGAGGAGATAGTGATGCTGCTCGACCGTGGTATGCCATACCCGGAGCGCCTGCGTGACTTCTTCCACATCCTCCGGCTTCAGGGTGCGCTGCGCCTCGAACGGCAGCCCGGCCGCTAGTGACGTTTGCTTCAGGAAGTACACGTGCTGGATCAGCACATGGATGAGAACGTAGAATCCCAGCGACGACAGATGGTTTGGCAGTCCTTGGTTGGTCCGGCCAAACAGCCGGGCAATGGCCTCGTGAACCGTAATCTCCACCATGGGCGTCGACTGCCGCAGCTCTTGCCACTGCCACGCCGTTTCCGCTCTCCAGAGCCTGGCGGGAAGAGGCAGCGAGAGTTTGAGTTCAGATGTGACCAGCAGAGGCGGCAGATCATATGCGATGCTGCAGAGGTTGAAGAAGGAGTAAGCAATCAGCTTGGTCCTGGTCGCCCCCTCACGCTTGATCCAAGCATCCCAGTCTGTCACGCTTGCTTGGCTAATGTCCTCCGTGAGGCCCTCCTCTCGGATCAGGATAGCCAACGTGCTCTGCAGCGACAGCGCCTCGTTGAGGATTGTCTTGGCTCCCCAAAGGCCGACAGAGAATAGGAGAAGAACGGCCTGGATTGTTTCCAATCGAGACTGGGGCGTGTTTGGAGAACTATATGAAGAGTGATAAATTAGGACCAAGAAAATTATCATCCTGGGACACAGTGATAGATACTTACTATGGCTCTCGATGTGTGTCCTGGGTGATTGGCCTCTCCGACTGCGCCGACGCAAATGAGTGCCGGTAAGAGGTGCTGGGTGAAGGGCGTGTCGAGTGAGGACTGTAAGAGGAGGCGTTGGGCAAGAGGGCATGAATCTCCGAACTATGCCGCCGTCGAATCTGCTCCATTGCGACCGACTTTGCGGCATACCAAAGGGCATATCCCCTCTTGCTCTCGAATCTGTACTGCGCCCCCACGGCCAGAATGGCGAGAAGCAGCTCCGGGGCGAGTTCCGTGGGAGACAGCGTTGGCAAGTGAAGAAAGGGCAGCTGCTCATGAAATCCGCTAATGTATCCCTCCAAGAAGCGAGTGAGGGTGTAGCGAGAGGGAAAGACAAAGTCGGCCGGGAGCACGGCCGAGAACTCCTCAAGCCGGTTCTTGATAATGCCGTGGTCGACCACTGAGATTCGGAGAGGAGACCGCGATGGTTCCTCGTGTAAGCGCGAGCTGGGTTCCTGCGCATCAGGGGCAAGAGACCCAAAGCGGGAGGGGAGTTGCGAGTTCGGCTTGGAATTACCACGCTGGAAGACGGCCGGCGATCGCGCAAAAAAGTTCATCTGCTGATCAGGCTCAAAGTGCGGAGGAAGAAAGTGCTGCGGCGTCGTGTAGTCGTCGAGGAACAGGTTGTAATCCTCGTAAGCCGGCTGCTGGGGCTGAGGGCCAAATCCAGCTGCGAGAATGGGCGGATCTGCTCGCGCGCGGTCTCCATACCCTTCGATGGTGTCCGGATAGCTCTTGACCCTGGAGTGCGTCGGGGGCGGCTGGGGCATGTCGTTGAGCAGGGGCTGCATGGTGTTGACCTCACTCGCCAGGGCGGCATCAGAAAGAAGATCCAGGTTGCAAGCTGCAGTTCGAGCCGCAACTTGGGGGTTCTGCGGGCCGAGATGACTCCCTCCATCTGAACTCATGGACCCATGATGATACGGCGGTGGAGGCGGCTGTGGCTGTTGCTGCTGTTGCTGCTGCTGATGCGGCGGCGACGGCGCTGGAGGGAGCAGTGTGGTGGTAGTAGGGGGAGGGGGAGGGGGTGGCCGCAGCCGGTGAATTCCCATAGCGTCGAGGTCGACATGGCTATCGGAAAGAGAAGGCTTGTGCAGAGATGCGCCAGAGAACTTCCTCGGCCGGGACGGGTCCTTGTGGCCTTCATTCAGATGAACGAGCTTCTCGTGCCGGACGAGAAGATCACTGATGTCCATGTAAGTAAGTGTAGACCCAACGCAAGCCGGGACAGTGTAAGTGTAGCGAGGAGATGGGCAGTGCCAAGTGGATCAAGACGAGGTGAATAACAAGACTTGAGGCCAGGGCATGAGGCTTAGAGTGAGGCTAGAGGTGACAGTTTGGAAGAGGGGGAAGGGGGGGATATGTAATGCAATGAGGAGACGCGGGTACTGGTATGGGTACAATGCACCACATAAAAGGACATGGTATCGCATCACATCATACCCAACCAAACAGTAGGGTGTACATGAGGAGGAAAGACGGGCTTGATAAGAAAAATGACAAACGCAAGAACGTGGGAATAAGCGAATCTGCTTGGAGGAGGCAACTTACCGACGCCCAAAGGTTTTCCCACAGCGATCCCAGCCGCAGGAGAAGGGCTTCTCCTTTGTATGTGTCCTCTCGTGTCTTTGGACATGCTCGACGCGTCTGCAACTCGGGGAGAAGAAGGTCATGTGAGCAACAAGGGACGATGACAGCAATAGAGTCGGACAAGCACAAACAGCAGCACTGGGCGGAGCGGGCTAGACTGACCTGAAGCGCTTGCTACAATACTTGCAAGGCAGCGTCTTGGGTTTCTGGTTGCGGTTCTCGCCCACGTCGGCAATGGCGAGGGCTGTAGGTTGGTTTGGCGGAGGTAGAGCGACCGGGCCGTCCATGGTCTGGAGCGGGAGCATTACGAGCAGAGGCGAGCAGGCCGTCCGGTTATTGGTATAAGTGACAAGGAGCGGCGAGGCGGCGAGGCAGGCTGCACAGAAATGGGGGGTTGGAGGAGGTGGAGGATGTGGGGGAAAGGGATGGGATGGGATGGGATGGGATGAAATCAAGAGACGGCAGCTTGAGCAAACAATAGCCAGACAGCCAGACAGGCAGGTGGACGGAGCATCAACAGGATCCGACCTTGACAGACGATGAGACAAGGCCCCGAGGAGACAGCAGTGGGGGGTTAGACGGATTGGCTCTCGGTCTAGTAAATCTGTAACCGCAATGTCCTGAGGAAGAGTCGACCGGCTATGTAGCCAGACTTGGGGGGGAGAGGTAGAGGCAGAGGTAGAGGCAGAGGTAGAGGCAGAGGTAGAGGTAGCAGCAGAAGCAGAGGGGGGGAAGAGGAGGGAGGGCAGTAGCAGAGAGACCGAGCCCAATCAACAACAGACAAGCAAGTGGCCGGCAGGAAGCAGACAAACAACACGCAGCGAGTAACAGTCGAGGCTCTGCCGTCCCGTCAGGCAAACGTGGGTCGAGTCCGAGTCCGAGGCCAAGTCGAGGCAATGCGAGGCGAGGCGAGTCGAATCGAGCCGCAGTCTGGCGTGCTCAGCAGCGTTCGGCTGGCAGCGGATGTATTCTGTTCTGCAGTTGGAGCGGCCAGGCGAGATGTGATGGAGGAGAAGAGGCCCCCGGCGACTTGATCCAACCAGCCAAGCTCGAGGAAAATAAAAACAAAAGCGAGCGATACACCAGACAGACAGACAGACAGCCCCGGCTGGATTAGCCAGGATCCTCCCCCAGGCGGCTATAATAAATAACGTGGAGCCGCGACAGGGCCACAGCTGTGCCGAGTTGGAGGCAGCTCTGGATGGAGGACGGCGCACGAAGTCGTATCGGGGCAAAGGACCAGGTTCAAGGGCGATTTGTTTGGCTCATCGGTCGCGTGCCGCCATCCGTTGGAGTTGGAGATGGCGGGCGAGTACTAGGAGGAAAATCTTTTTGGAAGAGAAACTGATTTGATCCTGGGTAGGGTGTCGCCTGGATGTCGGGGTCAGAAGCCGGTCTGCGGCAACGGGTGGTGTGTTTTTTGACCGGCAGAAAACGAGCGATGGGTGACGAAGCGCTGGAAACTCGCAGCTGGAGGTACATGTAATAGTACCTTAGTACTTTGTTAAGCCAGGGCTCGAGAGCTGATGACGAGGGACTGTGTCAGTTTCGGTGGACAATGCCAGCTGCCAGTGTCCTGGAAAGCAGGACAGGCCAGAATTGACGGACGGGATTGAAGCAAACAGTCGAGTTGTCTTGGAATACGGGATGTTACAAGGGCCAGGGTTGGTGCCAAGCGGGGAAAGCTGAGGGGGAAGCAGCCCAAAGAGCAGGCTAAGAGGCCGTGGGGAGAAGCGGAGAGAGAGGGGGGGAATTTGGTTGGGAAGAGACAGAGAGAAAGGTGTGTGTGTGTGTGTATGTATGAGTGAGGAGAGAGGAAAAAAGAGGCAAAGTGCCGGCCCATGACACAACAAGCCCTGACGTACGACAAACCGCCCCAGACTGTCTAGACTGCCTACCTACTACCTGCCTATGTCTAGCCTTGCTGGACTAGTAGTAGCAGCGGATTCTGGAGGCCAAGGTTGTGCGGATTCGAATGGGCTTTTGGGATGGTGCATGTGCTAGGCCAGCCTCGGCAAGACGGAGATCTCGAGTGTCACGCTCTGACGGAGGTAGTAGTAGTAGTAGTACCGTAGTATGTATGAGTGGGAGAGAAGAAGCACCTGTCGGGTCCTCTAAAACCATCAGCCTATAGGTAGGTACCTATATAAGATTTACGATTAGCAGTGGTATAGTACTAGTGAACAGACCCAGACTCAACTGCCCCGAGGACGATAGAACCAGAGGTCAACCGTCTCTTTGTTCCTCCTTTTCTCCTTCTTCTTCTCCTCATCTCCCCCCCCCATACAAGTTCTCATCTGGTAATACTATCTAGTCCTAGGTAAATAGTAGTACCCAAGAGCAAAAAGTGATCATCGATGGCTCCAGCTGATGTCGTCTGTGGGGGCTCTGGAGCGGTGGAGTCCGTACAGGCCCTTGTATGGAGAAGTTCCGTCCACTGGCACGATACCCCACGGGGAGACCAGCATCATTCGGTAATTGGGTGGCTTCTCTGGTTTTTTTTTTCTCTGTCTGTTGTCTCCTTTGCTGCTAGTAGTGCTACTCTGCCCGACTCTCGTGCTCATTTTTCACCATGCATTGATGCATGCATGCACGCAACATGCGCTTTGGCCGGTGCGCGGACCACAGAGTACCGAGTACCGACCGACAAGATCACTCAAGGGTTGCATCTGCATTATGTAAGCGCATGCTCTCAACTCGATTCTATTAGTATTGCCTACCTATACCTACCTTGCTTAGTACTTACTCCTCACAAGTGCAAAATGCTCCAAGAATTCGTAATTGCAACAAATGACAAAAGAGGCGGTGCGGCACAGAGGCTTCAGGTTTCGACTAGCAACTCCAATTTGACAACGGGCGTAGCGCTAAGCTGGGAGCTCAGGTTTCCATCCCGTTTTGGGCATGTAGGCAAGTTGTGGCGTTGAGAACATATGATGCATCAATCTCCAGCCGCCTCGACGATGTACATGGGATGGCTCGTGACAATACTGCAGTTCAGACGGTCAATTTTGTGATGGATTCACAACGGTACTGGCCTCTTGATTCCGGGTAGTCCACTTACAGTTGATTGATGGCAAATTGATGCCTTGACTGCAGAGTCTTTCCAGACATTATCGAGCAGGCAGGCAGGGAGTGAATGCTCTGTGGCCAACGGCAATTACTTGGACGTTGTGAATTCAGCCTGCCTCCAAGTTTAGAATAAATTGAGATATGGTGAATCGACTTCTTGCAATGGCTTCATTGCTACGCTGATGGACATGTCAATCTTGTGATCAAGCCGGATATCTCTGCTCAAACCAGCTATCTAGATCTATAACTCGCTCCTGCTTGTCCGTAGCCAGACAAGGACATGCCAACTCCATCCATCGGTTTACCATTGCATACCTACAGATCTCTTTGATGACCAAGACCATGGATCAAGACGATTCCATGAATGAAGAAATCTCATTCAATCTTAATGTTGACGTGCAACAGGTTTTCAACCTCGGCCTCCTTGCTGAGACAATCAAGACTCACGTCAAGGTGCTAGAGGACTACCACAGGAAAGATGGAACCTCGCTTATATCCTTTGATTCTATTGCTCATACGTCGACTCTATCATCTCGAATGTCGCCTTCTGTGCTGCAGGCCAAGGAGCAGATAATCGACTCAGCACTTAGACTGCTTGAGCTTACAGCTGGACCGTCAAAGACGATTGCCATCGCATGTTCCCAGGCAAGTTCTCAATATGTGGGAGAGGCGAAATTAACATGCTTGACGCTGATGCCAGGCCATAGGTTCAGATGATTTTGGCTTTAAGTGGCTCATCCAGTTCAGTATCTTTGACTTCGTCCCGGAGAAGGAGTCAATCTCGGTCCACGAACTTGCATTCTACGCTGATGTACCAGCTTCTGAGCTCGTGCGGATGCTGCGAATAGCAATGACGCATCATATCTTTGTCGAGACCGCAGACAACCGTGTTCACCACAACTACTTCTCGAGCAAGCTTGCCAAAGACGAGAACTTCCTCCAAGGCCTTCCCTTCTTCGTCGATGTTGTTATGCCGGCTTCAGCAAAGGCGGTAGACACGACAATCAGATGGCCCGGCAGTTGAGAGGCAACTGAGACAGCTCGCCACCATGCCTTCAAGTCTAAACTGGATTTCGACCATTACTTGACAATGAATGACAAGGAGAGTGAATACGCTCATTTAATGAACCTTCTTTCTGATGGCCGCCGCACATCGACAGCTCTGTTGGCAGGAGTGGTTCGCGATGCCATCAACTGGTCTTCCCTGGAAAGAGATGCCCTGGTTATAGATGTAAGAGCCATCATCCTGGCCTCTATCTTGGATTCTTTCAAGACTGCAGAGATTTACGGGCGAACAGCCGCTGACATATCACTTGAAGCTCGGCTCATGCAGCCCGTGTTTCTGGGAATTGGCCGAGTTATTCCCTCATCTCCATTTCGAAGCTTTTTGTCCGGATGAAAAACTCAATGTTATGACAGATGTTGTGATGATGTGTAACCCAGCTCTCTTGACCAGAATCAAGTTCCGCTCCCAGGATGAGCTTGTCACTCCTTACGCCCGGGTATACCTCATGGTTGGAATGCTGCATCGCAAATCGAACGAGCAGGTCGTGGATATGCTAAAGAACATCTTCGAACTCATGATCGACTCCTCGCGCCTCGTCATTGTCGACTCAATTCTGAGTGATTCGAGCGAGACGCCATTGGCAACCAAGCGAATGTGGCATTGTCGCGACATGGCCATGCGGCAACTGCAGAATTCTGGCGACGGGACACTGAGCAAACTCGAGAAACTTGCAAAACAAGCAAGCAATGGAAGTCTTATTCTCGAGTGTTGCACCTATCAACCAGGCACTACAATTTCGACAGTTGTCTTTCGCGACATGAGCTTTTGAAGAAGTTGGGAGCATGAATGTTGTAGCTACATTGAGCAGGTCTTTCATGAACCAGAATTAAGAAAGAAGGGTTGTTCGTGCAAACTCGCCTTACTGTGTAAAGTTTCGATTGAGCCCAGCATTTGTGAGAGACGGTGGATGCGGTGAAAAGCGTGCCTAGGTAGGTAGACTCCAGTTGTGTGTTACAGCACGCCTCCCGCGCTATCAGCCGCTTATCAAACTCTGGGCGCCTGAATTCAAACATCAACTTTCCATCCACCACTTCACAACAACTGAACTCACCTCAACGCTGCTTCATCATCACCAAACATCGTTGCTTGCCACTTCAATCGAATTTGAATCTCACCCACAAGCACTCCAACCTCCAGCAATTCTCAAACTCCACCATCCCTTATAGCATTTACAATGGCCGGTCATGACTCTGATCCCGAGTCTCCCCCCCCTGCGAGGAGAAACAACAAGCGACCAGCCGAAGACGACGACGACCTCCCCCAGCCCTACAACGCAAACTCCCTCCAGGCGCCCAAGCGACGCGCCATCTCGCCCTCCGAGCAGCCGCGGAAACTGAAGCGACCGGGAGCGCGCGCGCGCTTCTCCGAGGCCGAGCGAGAGGCCATCCGCCAGCGCCAGCTCGAGCGCGATCGTCAAGCCGCCGAGGCCGCCGCCTCCCAGGCCGCCGAGGAGAACAAGGTCCGGGGCATCAACGACGTCGTCAGGGAGCACTACAACAGCGTGCCCGAGCGCGGGCGCGACTGGCGGACCCGCGAGAGCAAGATCAAGGGCCTGCGCGTCTTCAACAACTGGGTCAAGAGCTGCATCATCCAGCGCTACTCGCCCGACGAGGACCACACGCCCGGGTCGCGCGAGATGGGCCGGTCCAGCGGCAAGGAGCTCCTCGTCCTCGACATTGGCTGCGGAAAGGGCGGCGACCTGAGCAAATGGCAGCAGGCGCCGCAGCCCATCCAGCTCTACGTCGGCCTGGACCCGGCCAACGTGAGCATCGAGCAGGCGAGAGACCGGTACAGGCAGATGGCCTCTCGCGGCGGTCGAGGCCATCGCGGAGGACGCTTCAATCGACCCCCTCCTCGCCTCTTTGACGCGCGGTTCCACGTCAAGGACTGCTACTCGGAGAGCATCGAAGACGTGGAAATCATCCGGCAGGTCGGCTTCGACCCATCCCCCATGAACCGTCGCGGCTTCGACGTCGTCACCATGATGTTCTCAATGCACTACGCTTTCGAGTCCGAGAAAAACGCCCGAACAATGCTCAGGAATGTTGCCGGCGCGCTCAAGAAGGGCGGCCGCTTCATCGGCTGCATCCCCAACTCGGACGTCCTCGGCGAGCGCGTCCGCGCCTTCAACGCCAAAATGGCCGCCAAGCGCGAGGCCAAGAACGGCGGCGCGAGCGGAGAAGAAAAGGAAACAGCTGCAAAGGAACACAACGGCGAGGGCGCCTCCTCCACCACGCCCACCTCCACGCCGCCTCCCCAGGCCGTCACCGACGCCGCCGGCGGGGAGCAGGAGGACGGCGAGCTGGAAGAGGGCGAGGCCGAGCCGACCGCCGAATGGGGCAACTCCATCTACCGCGTGCGCTTCCCCGGCAAGACGCCCGAGGACGGCGTCTTCCGTCCTGCCTTTGGCTGGAAGTACAACTTCTTCCTGGACGAGGCCGTCGAGGAGGTCCCCGAGTACGTTGTCCCGTGGGAGGCGTTCCGTGCGCTGGCCGAGGACTTCAACCTCGAGCTGCAATTCCACAAGCCCTTCCTCGAGATCTGGGAGACGGAGAAGGATGACCCGGAGCTGGGGCCCCTGAGCGAGAGGATGGGGGTCAGGGAGAGGGGCACTGGGAGGCTGCTTGTTTCGGAGGAGGAGATGGAGGCGGCGAGCTTTTACGTCGGCTTCTGCTTCTACAAAGTATAGTTGGTGCTGTGTGAAGTTTCGCTTCGCGTTGACGCAGCATTCCACACCCCCCTCCACCGCCATACAATCATGAATTCGTCTACTTTCTTCACCCCATGGGTCGAAGGGGTTTGCTACACATAGCTACCCAAGGAGGGGCTTGGAATAAAAAAAAAAGATAGAAAAATGGCTGGCATAGCTGTTACCTGTTTCATAAACCCGCTATATATATAAAAGTGTATCTGACATAACCGTAAAACCGGGTATCATAAGCTCCAATCTAATATTTCTGCTTGCTTCCCCGAAGAACAGCCCCCCCGACGAAAGAAACGCCAACCCTGCCTCAAGAACATCACCAAAGCAACAATTTGTTATCGAAAACTGGTCAGCACGCAGCGACAGGCGACTAGCCAATCAGCCATATGACGTCCCCATGTATGGATGGTATCCAAAGGCGCGAGGCCCGATAATACGGATCCGTTGGGATAGGAATGGGTGTGCTAATGGCCTACATGGTGTTCGTCGAACGCCTCCATATCATGACAGCCGCTATTGCTGCGCACGCCGTTGCTCCTAGCGTAAGGTACAGGCTCGTCCTGTCTGGTGTGTCGTCGTCGCTCTTGGGAAACGCAGTGCTCGGGTTCGCCGCCGCCTCGGCGAGGGCGACGAAGAGCTCACTGATACTGTTCCATGTGACGCTGACATGCAGCGGGGAACTCATGTTCAGAGACGCCGTGTACTGGTCCGGCTGCAGCTCGCTCCGCTGCATGGTCTTGTCCTTGTCTGCCTTGAGCGCAGTGTAAACAGATGGCAGCTGATCCAGCTGTGGATACTTTTTCCGTATGTCGACAATATGAGAAAAGGAGTCGGGGTCGGACGAGTCGTAAGCGTAGCAGACAAGGTCGCAAGCATCCAATTTGGCCTGGTTCTCTAGAATAGCAGGCTCCAGCTCTCCAAGCTCCTCGAAAATGAGGTATACCTGCTTTCCACCAGGCAGCTCCACGCTGTTGACCGCGCGCCGAGGTTTGATTGTGGGATGGTAGAGTTCGTCAAACGGACGGTTCAGGAAGGCATCCAGCAGAGAAGACTTGCCGGCTCCTGCCGCGCCGAGAATATAGCAGTGGAAGACATTTCTCTCGACGCGCCCGGGTCGTCTTCTCCTCTTGCGAGGTTTTGTGATCTTGAGGGCGGAGGTGATGGGGTCCTTTGGATTGGGAGGCTCGAAGCCGAGGTAGGCAAGGTACTCCAGTGTCGTCTTGGGTTCCAGGAACGTCGTCATGCTCCACTGAGCTAGCCAGCCTTGCAAGGTGATGTAACCGCCTTCGTTTCGAACTGTAGAAGATGGAAATGCAGAGTCAGCCCAGGAGGGGGGCAGCCCTGGCGTGGGGGCAAAGAGCGCCTCGAGCTCTTGGTCATTGAGACCACCATCGTTGTCTTTGTCGAACAGCAAGAACAAGTCCACAAAGAACCGATATCCGGCGGGACTGAGCTCGGCCGAGCAGAACTCGGGCACCTCGAACTTTGGATGGAGGAAGTTTTCCTCGAGGCTCAGGCTGTCAGTATGATGAAACTTGCGCAGGATGATCCAGATGGTTTCGTGCCGGCCCTTCTCGGCATACATCTTGTTCAGCTGCACGAAGCCTTTCAGGTCGATGCCCTTTGATAGGTCCACTGCACCCCGCAATGACTTTGATATGGAAAGCTTGATGTTGTCGAGGTCATCGTCTGTGAGCGGCTTGTCGAAGCAACGGGACTGAAAGTCTCGCATTTCTTGGTTATCGAGATAGCCATCTTGGTTCTTGTCGCAGAGGTAGAAGATGCGCTTCAGGGCGTCGACGCAGGAGGGCTTGAGGCGGCCTTCTTTGTAGTCGAAAAGGGGCGCAATCGGGTGGGTGACGGCCTTCTGGCAGAGGAAGAAGACTTCGTTGACGTTGCGATGCTCCCTTGCGCTGGTCCTGATGCACGAGTCGATCTCTCGAAACTCGGCCATGACGGGCATCATCTCCTCCTCCACCACCTGCGACGTGCTGCCCTGGCCCACGAGATCCGACTTGTTTGCGCATAAGACGACGGGAACGTTGACGCCCAGCGACCGGAAGTAGGGCATCCAGAACAGCGCAACGCGTTCGTAACTGTAGTGGTCGGCGTACACGAGCAGGATGACGTTGCACTTCCGGATCTCCTTGCGCAGGGTCTCTCGATCTTGGGGTCGGGCCGAGGTGTCGACAATCGTGGTGGTGACATTCTCCGGCGTTCCAATGCTCGGGGGGATGCTGATTTGGGGCAGGACAGGCTGGATCTTGGTGGTCATGAACTGGTCCTTGACGAGAGCCGCAATCAGGCTCGACTTGCCCGTGCTCTCGTCGCCGCAGACGCAAATCCGCACTGAGCCAAACGATAGTCAGTTCCATCACATTACAGGACCAGTAGAGAGTCATGCAGCATCATGATGGAGATGATGGTGTACTCCGGCTCTCACCATATCAGAGAGCTTCTTACCTGCAGTCGGCATCGCGCAAAGTCGCTCTCAGGGTTCTCAAGACAGACAGATGCCGGATTGCAAAGCGAGGGTGATGCTCGAGGCCATGACCCCGCGTCCCAAGCAGCGACCCTTGAGGGTGATATCTATCCAGCACTTTCGGGCGCCAACTCGCAGCGACAGAGGCAAGCTGAAGTCTGTGGAGCCGCAGACGCAAGATGAAATCTGGTGCTTCCACGTCACAGAGGCGCTGCAGTGGTTGGTCGGGTTGCAGGAGAGTGCAGGTGCAGCTACTACTGGAAGTGCCGCGGGGCTGTTGGGCCGCTTTGGCTGGTTTGGGAAGGCGGTGACGCATCACCTGCAAATCGAATGACGGCTGAGCGCCTGACAGACAGCACTTGACGGTTCAGGTTGTCAGCGCTGGGCGAGGCTGCATTTGCTGCTGCAGAACCCCTCTAGCGATCGCCAGCAGGCGCTGAAGTGGCCCAATCAGCGCTGGCCCGATGCTGTGCAGGTCTGCTCTAGGTGCCAGTTGACCTGTCGGGTTCCTGTCCCTGCCGTCTGGTGTTCTTGTAGGGAGCGGTTATCCAGCACCCCAAACCTGTTATCCAGCACCCGAGAATCTAGTGGAAGGTACTTTCGTATACATAAGTCCAAGCATAACACTCACCATTCCGCAATCTGAATAAGCTAATTGATAAACAAAAATTACATCCATAAAAGCGCAAGCGCTAAGAAAGCCATTATTGCTCTTTTTCTCTCTAGATTTCATGCATAAATGAGGTTGCTTTAAGGAATGTAATCTTAGACCAAAGGGTACAGATACTTTAGAGGCAAGTGCTGACTCAGCATCAATTGCGGTACTTCAAGTTATGTGTGGCTGCCATATTTTAATAAGGTACCTCGGGGTGCTAAATAACAGGTTTAGGGTGCTGGATAACCGCTCCCTTCTTGTAGCACCCCCTACAAAATGACGGGAGAGACAGGATCGGGATTCTACAATACTGGATGGCCGTTCCGCCGAAGTATGAGCTAGTAAAACATCACAAAGCTTCAGACATGGACATCACCCAGAGTGTCTGCTCCTAGAGCACGAGCAGCAATGTAGATACTTATAGGTACTGAAAGATGCATCCAGTTAACCTGCATCCCGTGGCGCTGTCCAACATGCTGCAACCCAACATGGCGCGCCTCGACTTTCACATGAACATCCATCCATATCTACCTTATGATGGCCTCAACCCGCGAGCTCTGACAACGCACGGAGCCACTCCCACGCCGCCTGTCCAGAGCACGGACAAAGATCCCGTTTGCCTGCCCATGTCCTCCTGCATGACACCTAAAGGGTTCAAACCACCGCCCGGCTTGGGGGTTTAGCGGTCGAGAGTCGGCCATTCAGCGTCTCCAAGCCACGAGCCTCCCCACTGGAGATTCCGTTACCCCACACGCTATTCTCTGCTCCCCTGCTCCGACTTCGTCTTAGCCCGTCCATCCATTTCGCTATCCTCAGCTCTCCGGATAAAGACCCCGGCCAGCAACGGCGTCTGTTTCCTTTCGCTTCTGTTCTGGAGAATGTCCAGATTCTGTCCGCTCTGATTGCTTCAGCCTCACCAGTTTGTCTCGTTGCAGAGAGCACGCGAGCACCTTCTACTGTCCGGCCGTGGCGCCCGCTCCATCGCTACGCCGCTCTCTACTTACCCACCTATATCGTCCGTGCCGCAAATCATCATCGCCGACACTGATTAGCGAGCATCATTCCGCGACCTCCTGCGATTCAACATCACCATCCATCGCCGGATACGAGGCGCGATCGTCGCAGACAGGCGCTATCCTGACGGATATTGCGCTTCGCAGGCCCATCCTTCAGGAACCAGACCGCCAACATGTTGTGAGTACTGGCCGTCTTTCTTCTGGTGCCGGGTCGGTGTCTTGATCATGTCTCCGTGACTGACAAAACCGGCAGTGTCCTACCACCCCCTCCACGATATCCCGCAGGCGCCTATGGCGTCGGCCTTGGGGGCGTCGTCCCCCTGATCGAGACCAACAACACGTTATCGAACCCGACCGGGCCCGAATATCAGTTCCTGGTGGGAGAGGGTAGGTCGAAGCCAATGCGGCCGCGCAGGTTGCGTGTCTCGGGCTGACGGAGCGGCGCATAGGAACATATGTCCTCAAGGAAGACCTACACCTGGCCACGCCGCCGCCTCATCCCTCCGAAGCACCGGTCGTCAATCCGAACCCGCTGGCCACGACGCCGCAGCCTGCGACTGCGGGAACCAAGATGTCCATATTGAGCCTGGAGACGCGACCACCTCCCTTCTTCTACAAGGGCCCGGCCGCCACGACGCTGTCACTGGGCGGCACCACCTTGAGCATTCAGGAGCACCCCAGCGAGGGACGATACTCGACGGAAGGGGGCAAGAGTAGCGAGGACGGCCGCGCAACGTCGAGCGAGGTACCGACCGGGTCCATCACGCTGGGCTCTGCGCCCGCATTCGGGGAGGGCAACTCATTGCTGGCGCCGACTGTCTCCAAGGACGTGAACAAGAAGAAGAAGCCTAAGAACAACGTGACTAAGAGCAACTCGTCCTTCATTTCGCGTGTAATTGTTAATGATAACCTCGCACGGAAGCTGACAGAACGGCCGTCTGATGGCCTCTTTGCTTTTGCCAACATCAACCGGGCCTTTCAGTGGTTAGACATGTCATCACCAACCAAGGTGAGCTACAGCTACGCACAAGGGATTTTTTGTGGATTTCGCTTTGGTTCATCTAACATCGGTCGCAGCAAGATTACTTGACAAAGATTCTCTTTACCAAGGCTCACTGCCTATGCCATGACGTCAACATGGTGACCAAGAGCGTTTCGCATATCGACGTGATTATGGGGTTTTCCACCGGCGAAATCATCTGGTGGGAGCCCATTTCACAGCGATATACCCGTCTCAACAAGAACGTGAGAGCAAATGTCTCTTACTGATCAAGTAGACGCAAAGTCCGCTAACATCCAAGTAGGGAATCATCAACAATACACCCGTATCCGAAATCCGATGGATCCCTGGTTCCGAGAATCTCTTCCTGGCGGCGCATATGGATGGTCTGCTCGTGGTGTACGACAAAGAGAAGGAAGACGGGCACCTGAATCCGGAGGAAGAGGGATTGAATGCTAGTGTCAGCGGCAGTGAAGGCGAGCTTTCGAACGGCTCAGCACACGGTAACGGAATCAGGATCAACAAGTCGGTGCACTCCAAGAATCAAAAGACAAACCCGGTAGCCGCCTGGAAGTTGTCCAACCAGCGGATCAATGCCTTTGCCTTTTCGCCCGACAACCGGCATCTGGCTGTAGTGTCAGAGGATGGGACGCTGAGGGTCATTGACTATCTCAGGGAAGAGTAAGCAACGCTGCGGCGCGTGTGATGATACCGGCTTGTGTCGGCCCGCTAACAGACGGAACAGACTTCTGGATCTATACTACTCCTACTACGGAGGGCTGTCATGCGTCTGCTGGACGCCAGATGGTAAATACGTCCTCACCGGTGGCCAGGATGACTTGATATCCATATGGTCAATGGCCGACTCGGCGCTTGTCGCCCGATGCCAAGGCCACCGATCTTGGGTATCTGCCCTGGCATTCGACCTTTGGCGATGTGACGACCGAAGCTACCGCTTTGGTAGCGTGGGAGAAGACGGACGGCTTTGCCTGTGGGATTTCAGTGTGGGCATGCTGCACCGCCCAAAGACAGCCGTAAGTTGGCAGACGTGACGGTACACTCACGCTGGAACGCTCAGCTAACCGTTGCCCTCTACAACTCTTGCACAGGCCCCGGCTCGCCATCGAGGATCAATATCATCAAGAATCACGGCCCCACACAGAACGGACACCAACACCTCGGCAAACTCGGGGGGCATGGGGGGTCCGGGCACGGAAGACGAGTGGGAGGAGAATGTGATTGCACATCCCGTGCAGCCCCGTGCCGTGATACCGATGCTGCCTCCTGTTCTGGTCAGTATAACGAGCAATGGCAAGCCAGCCCCGATAACGTGCGTCAACTAATCCGAGGCTTCACAGACACACGTGATTGATAACCATCCCGCCTGCTGGTTAGCGTTTACGGAAGACGCCATTATCACAAGCTGCAAATCTGGTAAGTTGTCAGCTCTACATATCTCTTGTCTGTATCTTGATATCGTTGAATCTGTTTCAATTGGCTGACGGAAGCAAACTGTACAGGCCATGTTAGAACGTGGAGCAGACCAGGCGTTCAGGCAGCAACTGCGTGAGGCGATGATGAGTGATTGGGCAGATGAGGTAGGCGTTACAAGGCGCTTCTCTACCTACCGTCTTTGGTGGTCTCTTTTGCCCCCTTTCTTTCTATCTCCCGTTGAATTGGGCGGGCGAGGCATGTCTTTTTGCCTGGTGTTTAGCCTGGGATGGCTGCTTTGAACTTTTGGGATTTCGTTCTGGCCTTGTTACTATTCTGCGCTTTTTCAACTCCAATATACTTCTATACCGGATGATAAGTTTTGTGTGGCCTCACCGACCAAGACACGATTGTATAAGAGCTGCCCCCGTCATATGGGTTCGTCTCATGACGGACACTACATACAGGTCTACTCTGATACGGCCTATTGATGCAGGGTCAATGAACATACACACACATATACACGCACATGCAGCGCAGCGCAGCACAGCACAGCACATTCCGTGTATCCGGAGCCCAATCGATCCGCGAGGGACCCATCACATCCAGCAAGCAGGTGCCGAAGCATCGTCTGCTTCTGCTTCGGTACGAGCGCTTCCCTGCGGATCCGTACCTACAGTACATACAGCAGGCTACCCAACCCCCCTCTTCCCACAGCCCCCTTGTCGCCCTTGTCGCATCGGGATGGGATGATGGGCTGATTAGCTGTCTGGATAAGCTTCGCGATCGTCATTCGACGGGGTCTCATGGCACGAGCAGATGCACGTGTCGTCCTCTGCCTGTTCTACTAATACCTTACCTACTTAATACCCTTTGTATTATGCCGAGCTTT